AGAATATATGTACATGAGGTGAAATGACTTTATTTTGAGAAGATTAACAACACACTAGGGAGAAGCCGATTTGATTTATTTTTTTAATTTGTACCAACACTATGCAACACGGCAGAATCCTACGTGTATCACCTTGATGGCAATACAACGTCTTGATTAAAGATAACTCAAACATTTTTAACGTTGGTGAAGGAAAGAGAATAAAGAAGCGTATAAAGTAGGGTGACCAAAATTTCAAAATAAAAAGCTGAGACATCCCCGTTTTTTTGGTGGTTGGTAATAAAAAAAAAAGTGAAACGAGTGCATAATTAAGGAAAATTGTTCTGCAGAGACCATTCATGACTAACACGTGAGTCAGTATCGTCACATTTTCTTTCTGTTTTGGTCATTTCTAACCAGCCTTTCTGTTTTTTACCTAAACAAATGACACTTTATGCCACTTTGCTGTTGGCAGGGATCAAATTGGTCCAAAATAGGGACACCTGAGACCTGGGTATCATTAAGAAGTTGCCGATACAATATATACCTCGATACATAGGCCACGATACGATACATCTCGATACAGTGAGCTTTAGATTTGATATGAGATCTTTCAAATCGATTTGATACACTTCAATACAAAATAATGTCTAAATGTCTTTATTAAAGCACTTCTTTGTTAAACCACAGTGAAAAAGAAACACACCCACATGAATCATCAAAACAGCTTGCTCCTCTGAACAAGCAACAAAACTGAAGCACTATAACAAAATAATTTAGTGAACAATTCCAAAAAATACTCTTGGCGATATATCGATACAGCCCTGATATCAATACTGTATCATCATGAGTAGATGTCACTATTTCCCCGGGACAGTCCCAGTTTTGTCCTGTGTCTCTTGTCCCAGCAGATTTATCCAAAACCATTGATTTGTCTCAATTTTATACAAAAAATGTCCCAGGTGTCCCTATTTTTGACCAGTTTGATCCCAGTAAAGAGAGTCATACATTGTAATTTGTTTAGGTAAAAAGCTGCTTAAAAATAACCAAAACACAAAGAAAATGTGACTATACTCACTCACATGATAGTCGATACGATACATAGGCCACCATACGATACATATCTCAATACAGTGCACTTTCGGTTCGATACGATATATTTCAAATCAATTCATTACGGTTCAATAAAAAATAATATCTCCAAATCATGGCTGTGATACTAAAAGTCTTTGTTAAACCACTTCTTATGCAAAGTTCATATGAAACACAAATATTTTAAATCATCAAAACAGTGAAAATGTCAAATGTGTCACATAAATGAGTTTCCTTCCTCCAAACAAGCAACAAAACTCTGGCACTGTATCCAAATTATTTAGTAAAATAAACCAAAAAAATACACTTGGCGATATATATATATATCTATATATATATATCTATATATATATATATATATATATATATATATATATATATATATATATATATATATATATATATATATATATATATATATATATATATATAATATATATATATATATATATATATATAGATAGATAGATAGATAGATAGATAGATAGATACAGCAACCCCTGATATCAATACTGTATCACCACATTAAACAATACGATATATCAATATTTTGATATTTTTGCTCACCCCTGCCTGGGACATATCTTGTATTAAACTGGGACAAATCACTGGTTTTGGATAAATGTATGTGACACATTTGACATTTTCACTGTTTTGATGATTAAACTGTTTGTGTTTCATATTAACTTTGTACAAGAAATGATTTAACAAAGACTTTTAGTATCAAATCGATTTGAAATATATCGTAGCTCACTGTATCGGGATGTATCATATCGTGGCCTATGTATCGAGGTATATATCGTATCAACTTCTTAATGATACCCAGGTCTCAGGTGTCACTAGTTTGGACCAGTTTGATTCATGTCAACAGTAAAGTAGCATAAATTGTAATTTGTTTAGGCAAAATATAGAAAAGCTTCTTAGAAATGACCAAAACACAAAGAAAATGTGACTATACTGACTCATGTGTTAGTCATGAATGGTCTCTGCGTAACAGTTTTCCTTAATTACACTAATGTCACAATTTTATTAACAACCACCAAAAAAAACGGAGACGTCCCAGTTTTTTATTTTGAAATTCTGGTCACCCTACCTTCAAGTCAAAATAAGAAGAATATTTGAGTTCATTTAACCTCATGTACATATATTTCTAATGCAGTGCTCAGCGAGTTAGCAGAGTTAGCGGAGTTAGCGGGGTTAGCGGGGTTAGCGCAGAGCGGCTAGCGGGTCGGCAGACAGCAGATTAGCAGTAGCTTTGTTAGCTTAGCATCAGAGCATTTGTGAACCTTAAACTTGTACATAAATATTCTGTTTTGCTTTGTTTGACTTAGTAACTTTTCTGGTTTATGGTTTAAATGTGTACCATGTTCTTACTTGTATAATTTTACATCACCTTTTCATAATATCCGTATTTTAAAGGTGCACTACGTAACTTCTCTGGTGATGGATTTGCCTAGCAGTGGTCTCAAATGTTCCACAGTACGGCATTACGCTCACACATCTTGCAATTATTCAGTTATCGACGTAAAATGGCTTGAAAAACAATGTAAACAACATCCTTCTCCATGGAGATAGATACGTTTAACAGACAACGGACACACCAGAAAAGTTACACACTGCACCTTTAAATGAGTCCACAATTTTGGCACAAATGACTCTAGTTTTGTTAACGGACAGTTCAATATGACATGTAAAGATACTGTCTCACCAAAATGTTCACTCACAACTGAAGCCACACTGCAAAAAGTCATGTTTAGATAAGTTCATTTAAAGGAATTACGTAAACAGTGTCGCAACTTGAATTGACTTGAGTGAAATAAGATCATTTTAAAGGAAACATGTAAGATTTTGATTTTAAATTTCATACCTGAGTCCCAAACATCTAAACATGTTCAAATCAAATGTACCTTTTACTGATAACAATTGTAAAGCTGATTTATTGTTCACTGACAATCAAATCAACTCCAGGTAATTCAAGTATTTTCGACTCGTCACAACAGTACTTTTTGCAGTGCATCCACATAATTCTTTTGTATCTTTATCTGGTGTAGTGAAGCAGAAGCCACAGTCAGCAGCAGCAGTTGAATGTTCCAGAACAGAACTGGGATTTGCAGTAAGCCAATAATGAAATAGCACTTTGAAGTTTACATGAAATAATCAAACATATGAGTCTAATATCAACAGAAACCCCAGGCCTGTTCAAGAAGAGCCTCTCCCCAGGTTCATAAACAGATCAGACACATGTGTTCACAGTCCAGACACTGCTCTTTTGAATCTACAGGCTGAGATCTGAGGCCGTTCAGGCAGGTTAGTGTATTCAGGAGGTCATCAAGTTTAAAAACATAACTTGATTTTCATTGTTTTTATCTGTAATACAAGAAACACTGCTCTAGAGTTCAAAAGAGCAGTACCCCCCCTTCCCTCCCCCCCAACCCTCCCTCGGGTCTGGGTCTCACCTCTGGGACTCCGATCCTTCTGCACGCGTCCAGGAAGTTCTCCACATTTCGCCGACACTTGGCCATGCTCAGTTTGGGCTGAAAAAAGGAAAAAAAAAAAACATAACTGAATGTATTGTATATGAAATTTGCAGTTGTTTTGTTGAAATGTATCTTCTTATTGATAGAACTTCAATTAGTCACCAGTAGGTTGTTGGTTCGAGTTCTCTTTAAAGGACACACATTATGCCAAATGGATTTATATAACATTATTATAGTAGATGACGATCCCACTCAGTTATAACATTGTTCCTACATCCAACACCATACCTGGAGTTGTATTTTGCTTCATGCACTCTGATTTGGTGAATCCTGTTCAGATTACATCACATTGATGTGTCAGAGGCATGTCATATGCATGTTGCGATTTCTAGCTTTTGTGTTTTTCAATAGTGATTCCCTCTGCTGCCAGTAGATGTCCTCCTAACACCAGATCACCAAAAAGCACGTCTACATTGTTTCTGCTGCTAAAACAATAGTACTAACAGTGTTGGGAAGGTGACTTTTAAAATGTATTCCCCTACAGATTACAGACCCCAAACGTTTGTAACGTAATCCATTAAATTACTTAAAGTGAGTAATGTAATCTGAATAGTTTGGATTACTTGACTTTCTGTAGAGTAGCAAAGACTCTGATATCTTCAGATGTTTTGTCTGCTAAAAGAAAATAAAAAGCCCAGTTTTTACTTAACCATATTAAAAATATTATTGATAGAAGAGGAGGAAACACGGTCCGCGCAGCATGATTTAGTCCTGTTAAATCCTGTTTTAGCCCTGGTTTAGATCTAGTTTAGCCCTGGTTTTAGATCTAGTTTAGACCTGGTTTTAGACCTGGTTTAGTCCTGGTTTAGTCCTGGTTTACAACTGGTTTAGATCTAGTGTAGACCTGGTTTTAGTCCTGGTTTAGACCTGGGTTCAGTCCTGGGTTCAGTCCTGGTTCCTGATTTAGTTCTGGTTTTGTGTCCAGCAATGAGTGGAATTACTAAAAAAAAAAAAAAAAAAAAAAGGGATATAGCCCAAAATGTGAAAACAGGAAAATACCGCCGTGTAATCCCTTTATTTCAACAAAGTAACTGTAATCCAATTACTACTCATTGAAACAGTAACTGTAACTGAATACAGTTACTCATAATTTGTACTCTGATTATGTAACTCTGGTACATGTAATCTGTTACTTCCCAACACTGAGAACTAAAGAGCATTAAAGGCCAAAAACACTACAAATAATGCATTGTTTTTGCCCTTTAAGTAAATGTTTATGTAATTAAAATGAGAATATCCAGTCAAATCAAACTGTCAATATTAATATTTGCCCATATCATCCACTCAGCATCAAGACAACACTCAGTCATGCACCCGAGGGAGAACTCAGTGCCAAAGTCTCGCTGAGGGGAGGTTAAGTCTTGGTACGCACCACAGCAGGGGAGGGGACGTGGATACTGGCCACAGATCTGGGCTTGATGTGATTTGCCAAATGGCACAAAACAACTCCATCCATGAGAGAGGAGCCCAGGTCTTCAGGAAGGACCACCTTCAGACGAGACTCGATGCTCTGAGGAGACAGGAAACCATTATTTGTTGGGATACACCATCTCATTACATGTTCTTTTATTTATATATATATATAAATATATGCTGAAGGACAGCACAGAGGCACTGATCCTGGCTGCTCAGGAGCAGGCCCTGGCACTCGAGCAATAGAGGCCCAGATCTACCACACCAGACAAGACCCACGGTGTAGACTGTGCAAAGAGGCTCCTGAGACAGTCCAGCACATAACTGCAGGGTGTAAGATGCTGGCAGGGAAAGCATACATGGAGCGACATAACCAAGTGGCGGGCATAGTGTACAGAAACATCTGTGCAGAGTACGGGCTGGAGACCCCAGGATCAAGGTGGGAAACACCTCCAAAGGTTGTGGAGAATGACCGAGCCAAGATCCTGTGGGACTTCCAGATACAGACTGACAGAATGGTGATGGCGAACCAACCAGACATAGTGGTGGTGGATAAGAAACAGAGCAGAGCCGTGGTGGTTGACATCGCAATACCAAGAGATGGTAATATCAGGAAAAAGGAACACGAGAAGCTAGAGAAATACCAGGGGCTCAAGGAAGAGCTGGAGAGAGCCTGGAAAGTAAAGGCATCAGTGTGCCTGTGGTGATCGGACACTCGGGGCTGTAACCCCCAAACTGGAAGAGTGGCTACAACAGATACCGGGAAAAACAATGGACATCTCAGTCCAGAAAAGTGCAGTACTGGGAACAGCAAAGATACTGCGCAGAACTCTCAAGCTCCCAGGCCTCTGGTAGACGACCCGAGCTGATGAGGGTGAGAGACAACCACCGTGGAAGGTGAGAAACACATTTTTTTTTTTTCTTTTATTTTATATATATAATATATATAATATATATATATATATATATATAGATAGATAGATAGATAGATAGATAGATAGATAGATAGATATATAGATATATAGATATATAGATATAGATATAGATATAGATAGATAGAGATATATAGATATATATCTATATATATGTTTTTTTTTGTTTTTTTTCTACTGAAACCATCAAATATGTGAAGAAAAATATAAGGAATTATGTAGCAAGGAAAAAAGTTAAAGGTCCTATATAATGCTAAATTGACTCTTGTGAGCTTTAAGTCATGTTAGAATGTTGTTACTCTCTTTAACACAGACCTGGAGTCGTGTTTTGTTTCATTCACACATGTACAGAGACTAATAATAAAGTGTCACTCAAACACCTGTATAGCTCCTGTGATGTCATCAAGCAAGTTTTCATGTTAACTTTACCTTTTGTTCAGTAGAGATGAGAAATATTGATTAATTGATGAAATTATCCAAATGATTCTAGTGAAAGTGTACAGAGACTAAAAACACTTCCTGTATTACCACATGACATCACAAGGTGGAACAGCCTAAATCTGCAGGGTTTGTGTGTTAAAACGTGTGTGAATGAATCAAAACACAACTGTTTGTGATGAGGAAACTACATTAGAACAGCGTAATATGGGCCCTTTAATAAAATAGACAAAGCTGGATGACTATGTTTGTTAATGTGTGTCTCACGTCTCTGAGCTGTTCCATGAGCTCCAGCTCCTCCCTCAGCTGCTCCATCCTCCTCCTCATGGTGAACTGAGGGTCCACAGACTCCAGGCTGCGGTGGCTGCGCACAAACACTGCAACAACACAAAGTCACTGTTAGCACAAGTATACAATACATGTGAAATGCTTCTTTCTGTAATTTACTCTACAGTAACTTTACTCTCAGAATGTGAAAAATGAAGGTACATAGTCATGTAGTAGGCACACACTCAACAGTAGTCAGATTTCTACGTTAATTTTGGTAAAATATAACTTTTTTTTCCCAGGTGGAGTTCAGATCATCATAGGTATCTTATTTAATATCTGAGTAATCCAGGTATTAAACATGCACTATGTAACTTTTCAGTCAACTGTTTTGTCTGAAATGCCTCCACAGATCAAATGGTCGCCTCTGTGAAGTTAAATACATTAATGCTACAATGCGGAACATTCTAGGCAAAGTAGCATCACCTCCCTGGAGACAAGCAGGTGGTGAACCCTCTTTCAGAAAAAGTTACATAGTGTACCTTTAACTAAAATTAAAAAATCTTGGCTGTTTTTGGAGTTAAAACTTTGATAAATAAGTCAGGTTTCATGCAGGGTAAATGCAGGTTTAACTCCAAGATACTGGGGGATGGATCAAATGCAGGTTTAACCCAGACACATTGATATATGGGTCAAATATAGGTTAAACCCAGAGACACTGGGGGATTGGTCAAATGCAGGTTTAACTCAGAGACACTGGCGACGGGTCAAATGCAGATTTAACCCACAGACACTGAAGTATGAGTCAAATATAGGTTCAACCCAGAGACACCAGGGGATTGGTCAAATGCAGGTTTAACCCAGAGACATCGTGGGATCGGTCAAATGCAGGTTTAACCCAGAGACACCAGGGGATTGGTCAAATGCAGGTTTAACCCAGAGACACTGGCGACGGGTCAAATGCAGGTTTAACTCAGAGACACTGGCGACGGGTCAAATGCAGATTTAACCCATAGACACTGAAGTATGAGTCAAATATAGGTTCAACCCAGAGACACCGGGGGATTGGTCAAATGCAGGTTCAACCCAGAGACACCGGGGGATCAGTCAAATGCAGGTTTAACCCAGAGACACTGAAGTATGGGTCAAATGGAGGTTTGACTCAGAGACACTGGGAGATGGCTCAAATGTAGATTCAGTCCAGAAGTACTGAAGTATGGGTCAAATGTAGAGGACAAACTCTCTACAAGGACAGTAAAGTGTAGGCCAACCTCAACCTCTAGTTTACAGTTCACCTGCACAGTATTTGTACATGAGTTTTTTTATTTTTTGTCTGTATTTCTCTGTCGTGTCTGTGTGTTTTGAATGACTCTGTTTATTGTCTATTGCCTTGTATTTCCAGTCTGTACTTTTGCCCTGAGTCATTTGAACAGCAGCTGACGAGTTCATGTGGAAATCTGAGCGTGATGTGAGATTCACTGACACAGAAAAAACAAAAGCCATAAACAGAACATGAACAGCGCAGGGCATTACACATGACACAGTACAGCTGGACAGAATTCATTAAAAGACAGTCCATAAAACATGTACCAGTCTTATGCAAGCGCAGTGTTATGTGTTATGCTACACTGCTAACACAAGCTAACTCAAGCTAATAAGCTCAAAGAGTGACAGAGCTGCATGGAGACGTGATCAGAGCTGCAGGCGACTGAAGAAATTCTAAAGGTGTGGGAAAAGCTGTCAAACCTATTACTTTTTATTATCTCTGTGTATCTGACCCAACCTGCACTCACAAGACGACACCTGCAGGGGGAGAGCATACAAAAACTATTCATGCAGAGAAAAGTACTAGACAACAATGTATTTAATTAAATGTGTGAATCCTGACTTTACATAGAACTGACTGACAATCAACTGAACAGAAATGAACACTGAAAGCCTTTTATTTACACTAATAATAATAATAATAATAATAATAATAATAATAATAAAAAGATGCATTTCATGGAGATAGATGCATTTTATGCCATACTTATGGAGATGCAAGCCTGCTCACATAGTTGTTGTTTTTTTTGCAACACAACCAAAATGAAATCTATTTGTGTAGTTTTTTAGCTTTCTAATGTGTTATAACGTTGTTACCTCATCAAAAACACGCTACTACTGACAGCTACTACTGACAGCTACTACTGACAGCTACTACTACTACTACTGCTGCTGCTGCTGCTGACAGCCGTAGCTGTAGTAGTACCTAAGACCTCTTCGGGTGTGTTTTTGATGAGGTAACAATGTTATAACACAGTAGAAAGTAGTAGTATTAGTAGTAGTACTAGTAGTAGCTGGTAGTAGGAGTGGTAGTAGTAGTAGTAGTTGATAGTAGTAAAAGTAGTAGTAGTATGTAGTAGTAAAAATAGTAGTAGTAGTAGGCGGTAGTAGTAGTAGTAGTACTGGTAGTAGTAGTAGCTACTACTAGTAGTTGATTGCTACTACTACTACTGACAGCTACTATTACTACCAGCTACTACTACCAGGTACTACCACTACTACTACTACCAGCTACTACCAGTACTACTACTACCGCCACTACCACTATCAGCTGCTACTACTACTACCACTACTACCAGCTACTACTACTACCACTACTTCTACCACCACTACTACACTACTACTACCCCACTACCACTACCACCAGCTACTACTACTACCACTACTTCTACCACCACTACTACCACTACTACTACCCCCACTACCACTACCACCAGCTACTACTACTACCACTATTTCTACCACCACTACTACCATTACTACTACCACTACTACTACTACTACTGCTAAGCTTTCTACCATGTTATAACATTGTTCCCTCATCAAAAACACACATGAAGAGGTCTTAGCTGTCATCCATGCATGTTTTTAGCAATCTCTCCCGGGTCTCATTCGAACCCTCCTCAAGGTCAGCAGTACAATCTTGCGAACCCTCCCCCATGCTCCCACACGACAATTCTCCATAAATATACAAAAACATACAGACGCAGGCTGACTGTGTTGTTATAGCGCTCTTAAGGGGAGTGTCTTAGCATAGAGAGCAAAGGGAGGATGTTGGCAGTAGAAGTAAAATACCCCCACGTTAAAGTCCCCATTAGTTTACATAATGACTCCTGATTTCTGTTAGGTTGACTTGGCAGTAAATCATGCAGAGATGTGGACTCACTGAGAGCACTGTTTATTTATTCTGCCTGTGGACAAACTGCAGTTCTCATCAGCAGCCAGAGGGGGGCACTGTTTCTGAACTCACACACACCAGGGTTCATACAAGTTCTATTTTCAGAAACTGCTTTTCCACATGAATGAAGAACTGCACTAAGCAAAAATAACTGCCCGACCCAAAGACTTCAAGAGCCACAATACAAGCACTACACTGGAGAACATAATGTGTACTCTAGTGTTGTCAAGATACTAAAAACTCCATTTCGATACTAAGGACTAAGGACTACTCGATACTCAATACTGATTCTGATACCACAGTGATAAATAAGAACAATGTCAAAAGTACTAGGGCAGAATCGCTTGGTCAAATGCATGATATAAAAATGTGTTTATGTAGTATAGTTACGTAAAGTACTGTGAGCTCAGTCAAACATGATCAGTGATGACATCTGATCACATACAGCAGCCACTGTGGAATTATAACATCAGAAAATCACAGCCTGAGGTAGTGACGGGGGTGCTACTACTACAACTACTACTACAACGGACAACTACTACTACTGCTACAACAGACAACAACAACAGCAACAGACAACAGCAACAGACAACAACTACAACTACAACTACTACTACAACTACTACTATTACTACTACAACTACTACTGCTGCTGACAGCTACTACTACTACTGCTACTACTTATGACAGCTACTACTACATCGGACAACTACTACTACACTACAACTACTACTACTACTACATCGGACAATAACAATTACTACTACTACTACTACTACTACTACAGCTACTACTACTACTACTACTACTACTACTACTACTACTACTACTACTACTACTACTACTACTACTACTACTACTACTACTACTACTACTACTACTACTACTACTACTACTACTACTACTACTACTACTACTAGCTACTACTACTACTACTACTACTACTACTACTACTACCAGCTACTACTACTGCTACTACTACTACTGCTACTACTACTACTACTACTACTACTACTACTACTGCTACTACTACTACTACTACGCTACTACTACTACTACTACTAGCTACTACTACTACTACTACTACTACTACTACTAGCTACTACTACTACTACTACTACTACTACTACTACTACTACTAGCTACTACTACTACTACTAGCTACTACTACTACTACTACTACTACTACTACTACTACTACTACTACTACTACTACTACTACTACTACTACTACTACTACTACTACTACTACTACTACTACTACTACTACTACTACTACTACTACTACTACTACTACTACTACTACTACTACTACTAGCTACTACTACTACTACTACCAGCTACTACTACTACTACTACTACTACTACCAGCTACTACTACTACTACTACTACTACTACTACTTGCTACTACTACTACTACTACTACTGCTACTACTACTACTACTACTACTACTACTACTTCTACTACTGCTACTACTACTACTACTACTACTGCTACTACTACTACTACTACTACTACTACTACTACTAGCTACTACTACTACTACTACTACTACTACTACTGCTACTACTACTACTACTACTACTACTACTACTACTACGCTACTACTACTACTACTACTACTACCAGCTACTACTACCAGCTACTAGCTACTACTACCAGCTACTACTACTACTACCAGCTACTACTATACTGATCCTAAACTAGGTTGGTAGTTTGAATCCCGCTCTTGACATAAACATCATGGGTACAGTGATCAGAACCACTGACCCAGAGGTTGATGGTGTGATTCCAGCTCCCACAGATGACTGACAACTACCACTACTACCACTACTACTACTACTATTATTGAGCAAGGCACTTTTCCCATACAATTCCATAATATGCGGCTAGTGGACAGGAAGGGCAACTGGCATATTCGTTGTGGCTATCTTTAAGGCCAAAAGGCTAAAAAAAAAAAAATCTCCTCTTGAGGTACTTCACGCAGATGTTGACAGATGTGGTGGAGCGTGAAGCTTGCCGATTGGTGCGTTCACGTGCGAGCCGTTGCGATTGGTTGTTAATGAGGTCGTGAGTGATGTAATCTGGTGCGCTACAGTGGGTTAGTCATCGTCTTATCAGGAAAGAACACTGCTCTTCACACATCAATGAAATTATACAGCCACGGAGGGACTACAACAGTGTTATGTGAACTGGAATAAACCCCCAACGTTAAAGGGCCCATGCGACGCTGTTTCCTGATCGATGTTCTAATGTTGTTTCCTCATCACAAACAGACCTGAACTTGTGCTTTGTTTCATTTACACAGTAACATGGTAAAAGGAGCTGTTAACTTGAAAACTACCGTGTCATGACATCATAGGGTGGCACAGAGCATTTTGAGGTTTGGAGATGTAGACACACTAATAATTAAGGGTTACTCAAACATGCGTGAATGAAACAAAACACAGCTCCAGTTTGTTTTTGAGGAGGCAACAACATTATAAAATGGCGTAAAGCTCAAAAGAGGCAATTTTGTGTAACATAAGATGTGTGTTAGGGTCCTTTTCACTGCATTAGTCACAATTTAGAAGCTTGTAATAAAATGTAATTAAAGGCAATGCACCCGATTTTTATTGTCTTAAAGGGACAGTCCAGAATTTTGGACATAGGACCTCATTTCCTAGTGAGCCAGAGTGTTGGAGACGTGTGAAGACACTTTTTAAAATATTCCATCCAGTCCTTGTATTTGCAGAGGTCGCTGGTGCTAGGCTATCCTGCCACTAAAAACAGTCTTACCCACTCCACAAAACACCCGAATCAAATCTATTATTATGCCAGACTGTCGATGTGAATGTCTGCAGTGAAGACTGCAGTGAGCGCTACATTGGAGAAACAAAACAGGCACTTCTCAAGAGGATGTACCAACACAGACGAGAGAGCAATACTGGACCTCAGTCTGCTGTACATCTGTACTGTATTGCTGCCGAAAAGCCAACATAATATCAGAATATTTGTTTTGTGGCATGACTCCCAGTCGACATTCACCTGATATTGCCTTGTTTTGTAGTCCAGAGTTACATGTAGAAGTAACTCTACTTCATCATCAGTCCAAACAAGCAAGACGTCTTTTGTGCGTGTGTTCGCCATCATCAAATTCTTGTGTTTGTTTGTTGTGGAAGACGAAGGACTTTATGCGCATGCGCTCTCTGTAGTATTGTGTGTCCAGCGGCTTTGGCTGTATCCTGTTTACAGCACCACATACAGGTGTAGCATATGTATTACTTCGTTTTCACTCAGTGCACTGTTGTTGTGTCGACGTGAATATTTATTGATCCGACAAAGTGTGTGGATGCAAATAAAAAAACATCCAGGAGTGTTTTCGTGTGGACGTAATCTCAGTGTAGTTAGCTCCTCCCTGCAGGCAGATGTAAAGTAGTGTCTACCGGCATCTGACCAGAACTGAAGAAGCAGCTTGGAAGAGCTGCAAAACGGTTTTGACCTAAATAAACATTTGTACAGTTGACAAATTGAATTTCTCCTTTGCCATGGATTCGACCTGGATGACTGAGGGATTCTACACACAGTTTGCAGTGCTCCGAAAGTTACCCCTCACTTACCTCATGCACTCTGAGCATCCTAATTATTCACCACAATGAGTTTATAAGCACTTTTCACAACTTTCAGAGGCCTACAGCAACTAGTATACTAACTGCACACTTCCTGATTCTTTCACAACAAAACGTTTATAATCAGATGCGGGCAGAGCATAGCAGACTTATTTTGACCTCTAGAGCTCCATATATAATATATCTGTACTGTGGAAAGACTAACTTTGCTCAAAAACATGGGGAAAAAGAACTAGTACAGGCCCTTCAATTTTAGCACACACACAGACAGACACACACACACACACACACACACACACACACACACACACACACACAGCTATACATCTCATTCTGTAGCGTGGGTCTGTAGTGTTGTTTCAGTTGTGCCTCCTCAGCGTATCTTAAAGTATTTTGGCCAAAGTAGAGTTTTTCCACGTCTCGTCTCATGTTTTCTGTCGTAAAAACGTTTAAAGACATTCTGAGCTGCAACCGCTCTTTATACGACCACAGGCATCCGGGAGGGCATCTGAGCTACAGACGCTATGTTAGAGCAGACATCGAAATGGACTGGAGAGAGTTTATAGTGTGCAGTTGTAATATAAATACAACAATACCCAGTGGACTATTAAAGGTCCTGTATCTGATTTTTACTGTCTTTAAAAATAACTTGAAAAACGGAACTAATTCATTTGAAAAGTGCACTTGTTTCTATGGATATATCATTGTTCTGCCTGGAATGTTCCACAGGGTGACATTAAACAGCTCTACCTTACATTTATTCAATTACAGGTGGTTTTATAGTTCAAAAATATCTAGAAAAACAGGCACTCTGACTGTGAGCCAGGGAGCCTCTCCACAGATCTAACTTTAAGTTTGTCTAGTTTGGTTTCCATGACGATAGAAAGGTTTAATGCCATACTGTGAAACATTCCAGACAACGCAATAACATCTCCATGGAGAAAAGCACTTCACAGACCCAGAAAAAGTGGAGTTTTGGTGCTTTGTTTCATTCACAACACAAATCCCGCTCCACTGTGTTTTTAAACTCTACACACCTTCACTAGAATCATTTGGGATTGTCACTTTCTTCACAAAAAGTAAAAGGTCGCTGTTAACTTGAAAGCTACCACTTCATGACATCACAAGGGGAAAAGAGCATTTGGCGTTTTGCAGATGTAGACAAACTAATAACTAATAATAATTCAAACAATTGTAAACTAAACAAAACATAACCCCAGAAATATTTTTGTGCATAGGATAGAAATCAGTGCATATTTGGGAAATTCGTGCATACTTGTCTGTAGTTGAGCATAAAATAAATATTTGTAAATTCTCGTATGAGTCCAGTCGTACATAAAATGTATTGTGTATTTTATCCATCAGAATACGAACTGAAACGTTATGACATTAAGAATTACAATCACGAAATGAAAATATACGATTACGCTTATTTCAGTACGAATACAAATTCACATTCTACTGTCAAAAACACGTCGTCACTTTACAGGCATTATTTATTGAGCAAAAGAAATTAGGACTAAAACAGGACTTAAACAGGACTGAACCAGGACTGAGTGTCGGGACGGGCCCAGAGAACCATTGGGTGAAGATTAGTCCAGGTTTAGTCCTGGATTAGACCTGTTTTAGACCTGTCTTAGTCCTGGTTTAGACATGGTTTAGTCCTTGTTTAGACCTGGTTTAGTCTTGGTTGAGACCTGGTTTAGTCCTGGTTTAGACCTGGTTTAGACCTGGTTTAGACCTGGTTTAGTCTTGGTTGAGACCTGGTTTTTGACCTGGTTTAGTCCTGGTTTAGACATAGTTTAGTCCTGGTTTAGTTCTTGTTTAGTCCTGGATCAGACCTGTTTTAGTTCTCGTTTAGTCCTGGTTTAGACCTGGTTTAGTCCTGGATTAGACCTGTCTTAGTCCTGGTTTAGTCCTTCTTTAGACCTGGTTTAGACCTTGTTTAGTCCTGGTTTAGTCCTGGTTTAGACCTGGTTTATTCATGGTTTAGTCGTGGTTTAGACCTGGTTTAGACCTGGTTTAGGCCTGGTTTAGACCTGGTATAGACCTTTGTTTAGTCATGGTTTAGTCCTAGTTTAGACATGGTTTAGTCCTGTATTAGTCCTGTATTAGACCTGTTTTAGTCCTGGCTTAGTCCTGGCTTAGTCCTGGTTCAGTCCTGGTTCAGTCCTGGTTCAGTCCTGGCTCAGTCCATATGTGGCACAAAAGTCCAGCATCTCAATCAATGTTTCTTCTGCTCAATAAATAACCCCTGTGAAGTGACGACGTATTTTTGAGAATCGAGTAGCGTCTGAGAATTCGTATTCATGCTGAAGAAAGCATAATCATACATTTTCATTTCGTGATTGTAATTCTTGTGAATGTCGTAACTTTTCAATTCATATTTTGATGGATAAAATACACACATTAGATTTTAAGTACAACTGGACACATTTAAGAGTTTACGAATATTTATTTCATGCTCAACTACAGCCAAATATGCATTGGTTTTCTGTCCTATGCACATGGATATTTCTGAAAGCTTTCACACTCCATAAGGTTACAACATTCTAATATGACTCAAATTTGCGTAAAATTGGACCTTTAACTACAAACGGCAAATAAGATGAAGAAGCAAAGCAGTCCCAGTGTGTCTGTGTTAAAAACAATAAAGTTTGTTATAGTGAGTCCCGTTTTTGGGGCAATGCGGAAACCTACCACTGTGAATGTCCACGACGTCATGGTCTCTGTAAGGGGGCGTGTCCTGTGAGCGGTGGGAGGAGTCAGGACCGCGAGGGGGCGGAGAGCAAGGCATGGAGGGCGGGGCTAAACCAGGAAGTGTGCGGGAACCACCGGCGACGACATACAGGGCGGGGAGGGGCGTGTTTTTAAAAGGGGTGTGGTTATAGAAAATGCGATTGGAGTGGAAGGATAAAAACACCATGAAAAAAAAGGTTTAGACAAGACGTGAGGAGGCAGGGTCACCAGAAGGGGGTGTAGTGCGTGTTTGTGAAAGGAAATAACGAGAACAGCGTGTAAAAAATACCCCAAAACACCAAAATGTACCAGTTGATGTAAATAAATGATCATAAAAGAGGATTAAAACCAAAATTTGCATGCATTTGGTAGACAAGAAGCAAGCAGAACATTTAAAAAGACGAAAAATGAGTGAGTGACATGTAGGGATGACAACAAAGAACAAAAACAGCACAAAACAAAATCATTATTAGCAGCGGCACATTCAAAAACAACATGTTAGCATTGTTAGCAGTTAGCGGGACTTTTACGTACAGTTAGCAACACAGGCTAAATGGATGCTAGCAGTTTAGGAGCATGGCGGCTGGGAGTTATAATGTTGTATTGACATAAAGAAGCACAATGGAGTTTTGATAAGCTAAATGTAAGGTAAACTAAAACTGTGGGTGATTTTTTTTGGTTGTTCTTTCAAAATAAAAGCTTTAAATGAAAAAATATTGACTCACCCGAGCGAGGTTTGAGACCAAACGGTGCAGTGGAGAAAGCTGGAGGACCACTGACTGGAGATCGGTCATTTCTCTGGAACAAGAATTACATAAACAGGGGTAAGTTAGCAAAAACAAAACAATGTAAAAGAAAAAAAAACATATACTTGGTTTATAATTTACAAATAAAGTCTCTTTCTATGAAGTCGAGCAAAGTCTAGAGCGGCGATTGCTGGTTTCAGATGACATCACAACATTCTATAGGCCAATAATATTTACACAGATGGGGGCACCTAGTGCCTCCGCTCAATTTCATTTCTCTCCAGTAACTAGGTCAGGAATCAGAATACACTAGATGGTTCGCAAAAACTCCGGAAGTGTGAGTTCAGGCACCAGTCAATCAGCGAAGATCCATACATTCTGTGTTGTCAACAATTCCCGAGATCGAGGATTTAAAGCCAGAATAAAGAGAATGTTTAGTGAATTTTATCAAGGGGAAAGATGTTATTGTCCTTTTTCCTACGGGATTTGGGAAAAGCTTAATATAACAGTTAGCCCCGTTAGCGGCGCATCATATACATCACGACCAAATAGCAGCGATTGGTTAAATGATAAAAAGTACCCGCCTACCGTCGAGCGAACGAATTCTAACACTGCGAGGTCAGACGATTTCTATGAAGTAAAACCAGCTGATGAATCAGGCTAACACCTATAATCAATATTGTTAAAATTTGTATTGTTACAATACTATTTTTGGCGGGATCTGACCGATACCAGTCTGATACCGCAGTGTGAAGAAGTACACTTAGGCTACTCAGTTTTGTAACATACAAGAGAAAAAATAAATCTTCTAAAAGGCTATTTTTAAAGAAATGCCACAATAAATATAAATTTCACTAATATTTTAGTCCTCAAAATCTTAATGCTCTTGACATAAGTAGTGCTGATTTAAGATGATTTAAGCAGTTTCACTTTCTACCACATGCCGGTGTCCTGTCCATTTGAGCTACCCTGATGCTTTATTTTCCTCCAGAGTCCTCTCATTGTGTGAACACACCTGTACATAGCTCCTCCCACACTACCTTGCTATAGTCTGTGACATACAGCGCTCTCCCATCCTCTTTCTGGACACTAAATCTATGTTATATTACATAGAAATGTCTCAACAGACTGTTTTCTGTGTAAAACTTATGTGAGACAGTCTAAGAAAAAGATCTTGTATATCGTAAGTGCGTATATGAGCGCATTTAATTAAAGCTGAAAGCAATTCTCAAGTATTTAAAAGTTAATATCTTTGTAATTTTTGGGTCTATTAATGTAAAATAAAAAGTGTCTGAAAGATAAAATCCTCCTCTGTTAGAATATTTCAGTTGTAAGTCCCTTTGAAGCTGTTTTCTTGTTGCATCTGAGAAGAATGCTGCGATAACTTTTCCTTTTGGACAAAAATAAATGACAACACAGCGCGCACGGAGGGACACGTGCGTATCGACACATGTATCGAATCGTGAGACCAGTATCGAACAATTTAATATTATATTGAATATCGTTGCATCCCTTGTAGATATGTCAGTGCTCTGTCAGGAATGTTCCACAGTATGACTTTAAACAGCTCCACAAACTTTCCATATGAATCTCATGGCTCAAAGTATTTTGACCAGATAACAGTCCTGTCTTCAGACTCCGCCCCTGCAGCCTGGTGGTTGTGATCCAAAACACCTGGCTGTAATCGGGGCAGTGCTGTGTGATGTCACATAGTACTTGAAATCGCAGAGGCCATGGGAAGAAGCACGCACTCCTTTTTTAACACGGAAAAGCTGCAAGTTTGACCATTTTGCACTAAAATTGGACTTAGAACAGTAGGGAATACTATTAAAACACAAAATAGCAAAAAGGTTGAGTTGAGTAGCGTGATACATTTTTCAAAATCAGATGACGACAACGATGACTGACAGCACACAAGATCTCATAGGACACACAGTTCTAAATTACATGAAAACAAACTACTACACTTTTAACAGCAAATTAAACAAAGCCAAAACATAGACTTCTAAAAGGTGCTGTTTTTTACGATGTAACCGATTTTTTCTCTGAGCAAAATACATGCGTCAAGAATTTCGGACTTTCGGTCATTGTGCAATGGATATTGGGAAGGATTTTCAGAAAAAGTGAGCATCAAAGCGCCATGTTTGTTTTCCCAGTGGGATGTGTCTATTGACAAAGCCGACCTTTTCTTGTCTTTTGAACCATATCACTTTTGTTTCTGGTTCTGATATTGTCAGAAATTGGGATTCGGACATCGTAATTGTGTGGTTGTTGGATGTCCTAACAGCAGAAAACGGCTCGAGAAATTTGTTTGCGAACTCCACAACTGCAACAGGGAATCAGATGTGTGTGACTGCAAACCTCCGTTCAAACTGTTTCTCTTCCCAGCAGAAATGAAAAAAATAGTGAAAGGTGAAGGCGATGGCAGTATTGATACACAGGAAGAATGAAAAAGGAAACCTTTGGCTGCCTAAGAAATCATCTCGAGTTTGCGAGTTTCTAGCGAACATTTTGTATGTGAAGCGCCATCAAAGCAAAACCCGAAGCACCAAAGCAAAAGGCACCAGCTGTTCTCCAAGAAACACCTTCCACTGCAAAGCGACCAAGACCTGATGTTGCTGTAAAACCACAAGAACAAGAAAGTGCGAGCTCGGCGTGTTTGTCTTCTGTAACTCACGCTTAACAAATGGGATCCCGCTTTGATGTCGCTCCACATACAAAATGTTCACTGCAAACTCGGGATGATTTCTTAGGCAGCCAAAGGTTTCCTTTTTGGTCCTTCCCGTAGATCAATACTGCCCTTCACCTTTGCCTTTCACTATTTTTCAATTCTGTTGGGAACGGAGGTTTGCAGTCATTTATTGAGTTCACAAACTTCTGAAGCCCATTTCTCAAGCTGTTTTCCACTGTTAGGATCCAACAACCACACATTTACAATGTCCAAATCCCAAAACTAAAATATGACAATATCAGAACCAGAAACAAAAGTGATATGGTTCAAAAGACTAGAAAAACTGGATTTGTCAATAGATGAGATTTGATGCTCACTTTTTTGGAAAATCCTTCCCAGTATGCATTGCACAAGGACCAGAAGTCCGAAATTTGTGATGCATGTATTGGTCTTACCCCAGTATAGATATACTGTGTAAGTAGCTCTCGAGGTCAAAATAAGTCCATTGTGCACCGTCTATATGTACTCCACTATGGTCTATGTGAAAAGTGCTTATGAACTCATCGTGGTGAATAATGAGGATGCTCTGAATGTATAAGGTAAGTGAGGAAAAATTTTGGACCACTCCAAACTGTTTACAATGAACTCATTTTGTTTTTCATGTGTTCAAAGATGCAAAAAGGTACAATGCCTTTAAATCAATCAGTTAGGTGTTTGCAAAAGTCTCTGGACATGGCTTTGATTACTATAGATACATCAGCACCAGTTACATGAACATTTAAGCAGAAGCACTGGACCATCAGACAGACTTAAAGGTGCATTGTGTAACTTTTCTGGTGTCTGTCAAATGCTTTTCACCGTGGAGATGTTATTGGTTTGTCCGGAATGTTTCACAGCATGGATTGAAACCTTTTTATCTTCATGGAGACCAAACCAGACCAAGTTACAGCTCAGATCTGTGGAGAGGCGACCCCGCTCACAGTCAGAAAGCCTGTTTTTCTAGGTATTTTTAAGCTACAAAACCACATACTTTAATAAATATAAGGTAGAACTGTTTAACAACAAAGCAATGACATATCCATAGAAACAAGCAGGTGATGGACCCCAAACCCAAAAGTTACATATTGCACCTTCTAACCTAAATCCTTATGCTCTCTCTGTCTATGTTGTTTACCTATATTTGTTTACCTGTCTGGACAAATAGGCCTGATACTGCAGCAGTGCATTCTGGGACGCACACCTGGCCTTCTCTAGAATCATCTGCCTCTTCTGCTGGAACTCACAGGGCTATGAACGCATCACAGCTTTAAACTCTTAACTCTTAAAAAGTAAGTCAACTAAACAACCTTAACATCATAACACCGGAGCTGTATGGTCCTTAAAGGAGACACATGATGTAAAATAGAGCTTTATGAGCTGTTATGATATTTCCTCATCACTAAAGATCCTATATTATGCTAAACTGATTTATGTGAGTACCTGGAGTAGTGTTTTATATACTATTAATATTACAGATGTTATAGATATTATATTTAGATATTATTTAGATCTAGAAAATTGGTGAATGAAAATCTCCCGCTTGTTATGGACATATGCCACTATGAAGAGGAAGTCACCCGTTTCACTCACTAAGCTGTTTTAGATCAATGTTGCAGTTTACTAAGGATGTACTGATCCAGGTTTTTCAGATTTTTCGATACCAATAACGATAGTATGTCTTTAATCTGCCGATATCCAATGTTAACCGATACCGATAGGGACGAAAACTGGCATTTATTTCTCTCAAAATACAGTTCAGGGTTCTCACTCTTTTTCACTGACAAAATTTGAAAACTTTTCCATGACTTTTTCATGACCTAAAGTGAATTTTCCATGACTTTATGACATCTACATGTGTATAATTTGGTATTATAATTTTTTAACATTCAAAATACTGTCAGTGCATTTATTGTTGTCTCTTTTAAACAAAAGACGCAGACGTTCGGAAATAATCATAACAGCCTAATGAGAACTGAACAGAACGCTGTAGTTGGTGAAAGAAATACTAAAATTCCACGACTTTTCCAAAACTTTAATTGAATTTACAAATTTCCATGACTTTTCCAGGATTTCATGACTGTGAGAACCCTGATATTTACTGTAATTCATCTGTTCGTGTTATGTAACTGTTATGGTATCCAGCAAATAACCACTGAACAACTTTGTATGGGTTAAAGTTCAAACATCATGAGATGTCATGGGGCTATATCAGTCAGTAAACAGTCCAACCGGGATATCGACTGACCCGATATCATGGAACTGATACCCGATAATGCACATTTTCCTAGATTGGCACAGATATTTGATACCAGTGTCAGTACTGATGCATCCCTACAATTTACAATGAACAAAATGTAAAAGAGCACACTATGATCTCTTTTAAATGATAACTTTCCATAACAATAACTACAGGGTCACTATTTGGGTAATTAATGTCTCCTCCACTTTTGATTCATTCTCTGGGCACAGAACATATTTTAAAACACAAACTAAACAAGACACAAACTCTCAACTGTACTGTATACATTCACTGTTGAGCAAATACCAAAGACTGTATAAAGAAGTTTACTAAGGGAGTGTGACATCACCCATAGCTTTGGCTCCAGTCAAATGAAGCTCACCGAGGCGGCAGGTATAGGGGCAAATTTGAAGCCGAGTTCCATATTAGGAATTCACTCCACGGCAATATAATGTCATCAGTTTTGGGGACAGATTGGTGGCAATTTAAACTATACTATGTAATTTGAGAACTGTTCATCAAAAATCAATCAAACTTGACCTAAAGTGGCTCTGTACCTTTGGTGTAGTGCAGTTGTCAGCCTCCTGTCCACTGTAAAGACAAAAACAGAGAATGCAAAGGATTATTCATTTAACATTCATTTGATGTAGAAGTTGTCTGTGAATTGGTCATTTCTTACTTGCGAGCCTCGTCGATTGTGACCATGTCCACTGGATACAGCTGGACACCGGACAGGTCTGTGCTGGCTCTGAAAACATCAAAATATAGGAGTTTCAAAATAACAGTTGGCCAAGTTCTTCTAGTCTTTTGTTTTTGTTTTTTTTTTACAGATATGAAAAAGTTTATTTTATCTAAACCTTTTAAACACCATTATACATGGAATGGATTAGAATGTCTATTTATTTTGTACATTGTGACAAAATGTGAGTTATTACTTATTTGTTTTAAATGGTTAATCACTATGGTAACAGCCCTAATTTTTCACTATTCTGAAACCCATAGATACTAGGTTTACATTTTGGAAAAAGACCAAGTCAAGAATAGATGTGAACCAGGCCTACACCAGGTCTACACTAGGACCAAACCAGGTCTAAACCAGGATCAAACCAGGTCTAACCCAGGTCTAAACCAGGTCTAAACCAGGACCAAACCAGGCTCTAAACCAGCTCTAAAGTAGGACCAAACTAGGTCTAACCCAGGTCTAAACTGGCTCTAAACCAGGCCAGGTCTAACCAGGTCTAACTCTAACCAGGTCTAAACCAGGATCAACCCAGGTCTAAACTAGGACCAAACCAGGTCTAGACCAGCTCTAAACTAAGACCAAACCAGCTCTAAATCAGGACCAATCCAGGTCTAAACCAGCTATAAACCAGCTCTAAACCAGGTCTAAACCAGGTCTAAACCAGGACCAAACCAGGACCAAACCAGGACCAAACCAGGTCTAAAGCAGCTATAAACCAGGTCTAAGCCAGGTGTGAACCAGGTCTTAACCGTGTCTTAACCACATCTAAACCAGGATCAACCCATGTCTAAACCAAATCTAAACCAGGCCTAAACTAGTCCTAAACCAAATCTAAACCAGGTCTAAACAGGACTAAAATGGTGGGACCTGATTGGATCCTGCAGCAGCTCCACAGCCTCCTTCAGTTGGTGAATGAGGTCGATGTGAATCTCTGTGCTCCCAGGGACTTTGGACCTGAGACAAAACAAACAAAAACAAATAATACAGCAGGATTTATGGGTAGGACAGTCGTGTAGGGACCACACGTTAAGGGTTGATTGTAAAAGGCAAAATAAGAGCTCAATTTTCTTTGTGTTAGTATTTCTTAAGAACCTCACTTAAGTTGTGTTTTGTTGTCATCTTGGATCTTTACTCTGCACTCTGAATTTTGACTGTTGAATTTGAGGGCTTGATCATAAAAATGTAACTACAATACAAACTTACAATAAATAAAAAGAATCTATATATCAAAATTTGGAAATGCTCACGTAGGCTCTGCTGTCCAGTTAGTGTCCTCTTCTATCCTCAGAGGCTCCTCGAAGTCCGCTGCTGTTCGACCCTAAAGACAACAAATAAAACGTCAACAAAAGCATAAACAGGAGCTCCAGCTGCACAATCACATGACCCGAATCCTGAGCCGTGATTGGCTGAGTTGCAGGGACATCACCGCTGTCTCCTGAAGCAAGACAATAGGCCTAGTGTAACTCACTCGAACAAGCAAGACAGAAAATATAAGAAAATATATCAAAGTTAACGTCACAAGATTGTAGAATCCCTATAGATACTTTGCAGTGTTCTACATGGATGTCTATGGTTGAAGGTTCTGCAGTTACCATGGAGACACGATGCACATATTAGCAAACACTGCCAAAAATGTTTTTAAAAAGTCTGAAAACTCAAGAAAAAACAAAATGGATTTAAGCGGCACATTTTCAGGGGTTTCTGATCAATTCGAACATTCACGATCTTGTTTAGGAGTTTGATTTTTAACACAAAAGATGAGAGTAACAAACTGAAAAACTGTAATTCTATGTGTGAGGGACTTGTTTAACTGCACAAAAGCATCTCCCCAACTCAAGCTCTTTCTGGTCAGATTGTGTGAAACCAAAGTTCAGATCAAGTGTAGCTAGAATAACAGAGCTTCAGACAGAGTAGTGCTTTTAGTTAGTTTCACACTCACGGGGAACGTTGTTGACATCTGCCGTAAAGTGTCAATAGTTTAGCTGGAGGACAAGTCAAAACTGTAAGGTGGAGTTTGCCGTGTAACTGTCAGATTGCAGATTTGTGGACCTGGTTTATGGTTCATATCTCTGTAACTGGACTCGATTTGGACTCGAGTCAGACTTGAGTCACTATTTCGATGACTGGAAACTCGACATGTTAAAATGGACTAAGACCTGGGACTCAACTCAAGCTAAATTTTACAGGCACAAACTGGAACATATCCCTCTCCACTATTTAGCAAACAGTCGGGAGCAAAAGCTGAACTACTGATTGATATCGTAGTCCAATGTCTCACAATGATATTTTGGGTATTTGATTACGAGCTTCATCGCTTAACCCTCTGACACTCTTGGAGACCGTTTGTGTACATTTTGCAAACTTTTTTTTCACTGTTCAAAGCAAATGTGTTATGTTGCAGTTAGAGCTATGACACTTTCCAGATAATGTTATTTTTTTATTCAAATTTTCCGTTCTCACCTCACCCCTCCTACCCTGATTCATCAGTCAGTTTCACTTCGTGGAAACCGTCTGATCTCGCAGCATCACGATTTGTTCGCTCGACAGTGGGTGGGCACTTTTTATTATTTAACCAATCACTGCTGCTATTTGGTCATGACGTATGTAATGCACCGCTAACAGGGCTAACTAGTATATTAAGCTTTTCCCAAATCCCGTAGGAAGAAGGGCAATAATGTCTTTCCCCTTGTTAAAATTCACCAAACATTCTCTTTGGTCCGGCTTTAAATCCTCAATCTCGGGAATCGTTGACAACACTGAATGTATGGCTCTTCACTGATTGGCTGGTGCCCGAACTCGCACTTCCAGGCCTTTTACGAACCGTTTAGTGCAGGGGTGTCAAACTCATTTTGGTCCGGGGGCCGTATCCAACCTACTTTGATCCCAAAGGGGCCGAATCAGAAATCGCATGGCATATAAACCCCAAAAATAACAATAACTTCAAATATTTGTGCAGAGAAACACAAATCTATTACAGAAATCTTTTTTAATTGATGAACTCTTTCTTTTGCAAAATATTATAATATTATGAACAACCTGAAACTTTAAGAAAAATGCAATTTCAACACAATGTTTTAACATGAACTTATATGCAAACAGGAATAAGTCAATTTTTCTTGGAAAATCCTGCACTCGGCTCCACTTTTCTCATGTTGGACATTTTGCTGATGAGGGGGTCACAGTCAAAATGTTCGTCCTTTAAAAGAAGCAAAGAGGCTTCATTTGTGCTGCTCTGGTGGGAGGGGCCACGCACAGAGGCCCTGGAGATGCTGCTATGATAAGTGGCGTAGAAAATTACTAATATTTTAATAGAAAATATAATTAAAATATTTTAGTAGAAAATCAGCAGAGGGCCAGATTAAAGGTTTTGGAGGGCCGGATCTGGCCCCCGGGCCTTATGTTTGACAGCTGTGGTCTAGTGTATTCCGATTCCTGACCTAGTCGCTGGAGAGAAATGAAATTGCTAAAATTTTTAACTAAGTTGTTCCCCCTCAGAACCAAACATGTCCCAGTGACTTCCATAATAAACTGACTTTTTCTGCTGTAATAAAGACGTTATATGATGTGATATCATGAAACACCATCTCAAATTAAGCTTCTGGGTTGAAAACTGAATAATTTCTGAAAAATTTCCTCTGGACCTCCTCTGGGCCCCTGTGGTTTTTATATGGACGTTCTGAAGCTGATATGTTGCTGTAAATTATTGACATATGTAAGTGTCTAATAACAGCAACTCAAATAATCCCAAATTTTGAACTTTTTGTGTTTTTGGCATCTAAAAAAATGTGACTTTTGCATCTGAAATGCCCCCTCTCTAAAAATATTCATGAAAGTTGGATAATTTCTTGATATGTTTGGACAGAAGACAAAAGATTTGAGCCATTGAAAGTGAAAACAAATGTTAATTCTGTCTTTTATAACAATTTTATGTGGTGGGAACAGTTTGTGTCACGAAGGGTACCAACGTGACCAAAAATATTGAGGTGTCAGAGGGTTAAATTCATTGTTTTATTGCAGTAACAGTTAAAAAATGTTAATTCTGTCTTATTTTATAGCACTTTTATATGACGGGAACATTTGTGTCACGAAGGGTACCAAAATATTGAGGTGTCATGAGGGTTAAATACATTGTTTTGTTGCAGTAACAGCTCAAAACAGAGGGAACTACAGAGACGATGATTCTTGGTTTAGCTTTTATGCCATAGTGTGGAATATTACAACTAAAAGAACAACATTTCCATGGAAACAAGACAGAGGCGTTCCCCCAGGCCAAATATGAGTCAGGTTTGTGGAGATGCAAGCCCGCTCACCTTAAGTATGCATGTTCAAAATACACAAGATGAAAAAAAATAAATTAATAAATAAACTTTCTATATACGTTCTATATTTTGGAAAAAAAAAAAAAAAGTTACACACTGTGGCTTTAACAAAGTGCTGTCATCAATGTGGATGCAGCTTTTCCTTCAATCCATCATCATTAAAACTCCATACCCTCCTCCTCTTCAGTTTTCCTCATGTTTATTCCTTATTTGGCCATGTCTCTGTATCCTTTCTCTCTCTGCCAATACAAAATGCATTCGCTCTTAACTCAAAGTGACATTTCAGGACACGCTCGCAATAAAACAAAGCACTCAACGTCTAAAAACAGCCACCAAACACAAGAAAACGTCAAAAATAACATTACGTAAGAGCACTTAGCATAGCATGGAGCATTATTTATGGATTCGGACAATTGCTGCATGAAAGTTTAAAGAGGAGGGAAATGGAAAAGGAGAAAAACTACAAAAGTGGGGAGAGACGCTAAAAGTAGACTTACAGCTTCTCTGATAGAGGTCTGCCACTTGCTTGTTTCCAAGGAGATGTTATTGCCTTTCCCTAGAATGTAGTCTTACTGTAAGCAGGGTCGCCTCTCCGCAGACCTGACCTGTAACTAGGCCTGTCGCTATAACAAATTTTAAAGCACAGCATACGAGTATTGATGCGTAAACGATAATACTGAAACAGCTGTATGCTTCTGGATAAAGCAGCAGTGTTCCAGTAAACCACTTTAAAATATAGACTGTAGACAGCAAAATTAACTTATTAGTCCAAACTAAGGCGATGTTCAGACTAGACATGGGCATGATTAGTTGACTAATCAATAATTGATCATTAAGAATTTCGTCAATCACGTTCATTTTTAATCAACAAACCAAATGTAGGTTGCTGTGTGTAGTGTAAGCAGACGAGGCTGCGTCTGACACAAACACTGGAGTTGTGCCTCACAGTCCCACGTTTGGGCTCTGGCTCCTTGGAGACACTGTTCCACTCAGTGAATGTGTTTACATGTACATCAGTGTCTCGGGTATGATCGAGTTTTTTGAGTGTCCCGGTTTCATCATGGTGCATGTAAACACTGTATCCTAGCTACTGCAACATAAAGTTGGGTGAGCATGCATCCAAAAAACAAACACTTTTCAGTCTTTTCATCACAACAGGAGCCAAAATAAATAAAGTAGCCAACATAAATAAAGTGACCAACATAAATGAAGTGAATGAAATGATGTTAAATAAAGAGCTGCACTAAACCTGCGTCTGATCTCTGAAAATATGAACCATCTCCAACGAGACATAGGCACAGAACAGAACAGAAGCTGAACGCATCAGTGCACAAGGACAGAGCTTATAGTTTATGCAAATTAGCCATGTGGTTTTGAGTTTCGTTTGTGTAAAACATAAACAAATGTGTCAAAGCTGCATTAAACACATTATAATGTCAAACAGGCTGATGTGGTTCTATAGTGGTTATGGTTTATATGTTGTAAAGTTGAGTTTATTTATGCAGACTGGCAATAGTAATAATAGTGATGATCATTTTAATATAAAAACTTTAATGATTAATCGAAAATCAATTGTTAATTCTCCAGACGAACAATTAAGAAAATCTAACCGACTGCCCATCCCTAGTTCAGACTGCAGGGCTTAATGCTCAAGTCGGATTTTTTGTGAAATCCAATTTTTTGTGAGGTCGTTCATATTTCCAATTAAATGCGACTTGTATGTGATCTCCAGTGTGAACTTTAAACACCCCAAAAGTGTCCCACATGTGCACTGGAGGACACGACGACGTCACACACAGCAAGCATGCTCAGTGTTTACGGAAACAGCCTAAACATGGACGCAGCATTGAGCACCTGCAGATTTTAAAGTTGCTGTCGTACCGGAGCCAGAACATGTACAGCTTATTTGTTTTAAGGAGGAGATTGAGAAGGACGAGGTTTTTGGCCATGACGTTTTGTGAGGCAGTGACAGCAACGTCCGTAGAAAGAACGTGTGGGTCGGAGCCAAGAGTGGAGAGATTGCGATGTACTGCGCTGCTTCACTGACACAGAGTTCAGACAAAATTTTCATCTGACGAGAAGAACGTTTGTGTACATTTGTGACGCCAAGGTTGGATAAAAGCGTCCTGGTTCAGACTGAAGTCGCATGTCAAAAGATCGGATATGTATCGGTTTTAGGAGCACATATCCAAGTGGCCTGGGTCGCATCTGCAAAAATCGGATCCGTGTCGTTCAGAATGTCATTAAAAGATCAGACACAGGAGCATAGGGGTGAAAAAATCGGATTTGGGTCACTTCAGGCTGCAGTCTGAACACAGCCTAATTAACCAAACAAGTGATTTATTCAAAACTTTCATTACAAAAAAACAACAAAAATCTTTATGACACTTTGCATTAATGACATGATGGGGGTGTTGTACGTGTATATCTATGATGAAGATAGTCTGAAAACTCAATAAAAACACTAAATGGATTTAAACAGCACATTTTCAGGAACATCTGATCAGTTTGAGCGTTTATGGTCCTGTTTAGGTCTTTTATTTTCAACAAAAAGGTGAGAGGAACTAACTGAAAAACTAAAATACTGTGCCTAATGCTGGATTTGACTGTAGTATTATTTATGAGAGACTTGTTTAACGGCACAAATCACCTTACCTGTTGCCGTTCCAACTAAATCAGTTCTTTCTAGTCAGATTGTGTTAAAACAAAGCTCAGATTAAAGTCTAACAAAGCTCCAGACAGAGCAGAGCCTACAGTAAGCAACACACCAAAGAAAGAAAAGAAAATGTACACAGTATAAATATATGTTTCTCTTCCATTTAAGTCGATATAGTCGTTATCGTGACGTATCTGTAACCTGTCCTGCTTGTCTCCATGGAGATAAGGCCTCATGTTATTACTGGGCTTCAGATGACGTCACGATATCGCCGATAATATTAAATACAGATGGGTGCAGGAAGTTCTTGGGTCTAGTCACTAAAAGAAATGATCCGGATCAACATTTGTGAATTTACTTTTCAGATTTTCAGGCTTATTTCATGGCAAAGTCCAGTGTGATCAATAGGAAAAAATCTCATCTGAGACTATGACATCATCACATTCTAGAGTCTTTGCTTTTTTTTTTTTTTTTTGGCCTAATCGGTCCATGGAGCTATTCTTTAAACTCGAGTTAGCCTTATACGGCAAAATGGAAACTGAAAGTAGTTTCCGAGTTGCTTACGACAGGGGGAGATAAAGGACGCTTCAGCTCGCAACAATTCATCTCACAGACTCAGAAATATGTGATTTAAGGAGAGAACGGCTCAAAAGTGTGTCAGATCCAAAGTCTGTATCAGTGGTACTTGATTTTCTTCTTTTAAAGGTCAGGTACAAACTACAAACTGAGAGTTGTAGACTTTTATTTTTAAGATTAAAGAGCTCATACTACAGTATTTTCTGATTTATGTTCTATTGTTGTTTACTCATCACAGACAGATCTGGAGTTTTGTTTTGTTTCATTCACACACGTTTAAACACACAAACTCGATATACTATTTAGGCTCTTCTCTCAAACTGACAACACTCCACTGTCTCTTTAAACTCCACACACCCTCATTAAAATTATTTGGATCATTTCAGCCCTGCAATTTCCAATCTTCACTAAACAAAAGGTAAAATGTAGATGTTAATTTGAAATCTACTGCTTGGTGACATCACAAGGTGGAACAGGGCATTTTGAGCTTTGGAGATGTAGGCAGACTAATAATAAAGGGTTACTCAAACATGTGTGAATGCAGCAAAACACAAGTCCAGGTCTGTTTATGATGTAATAACATGATAACACGGCTTAAAGCTCACAAGGACTCATTTTGTGTAATACATAGGGGTGTAACGGTACATGTATTCGTGCCAAACCGTTTCAGTACAGGATGTTCGGTTCGATGTGCGTCTGTGTACGAGTGAGTTCGCACAATTTGTGTGTGTTTACATTCCTCCTCTACATGTGCAGCTACACGAAAGGCTCGGCTCTTTAATATTCATGAGGGAACTCGTCCGTGATTGGGGTGGCAGTGTTCCCCGCCTTGACTATGTCCCGCCTGAACCACGTGAATCCTCGCAAAACTACGCTCGTCGCACCCTGGTCTTCACTTTCACCTTTCGTCAGCACAGAATCTCCGCCCCTTCCCTATTGACATTGTAACTGCAGCAGATCTGCACTTACTGCAGATAATGAGGACAAGTTGGTTCTTCTGGCCAGAAATATGAAAATTGAGTTAAACTGTTAGTACTGCACTTTAAAAGTTTTGTATACATTTGTTGCTTATTTGAGAATATTTTATTTAGCTTATTAGTATTACCAAGCAGCACTTTGCATTTATTTTATTTTCCCGTTTGTATAATGTTAAAACAAACTGTTGATTTAATAAACAAAAATAAACAACAAGCAAATGGTTTTCATTTTGTTCCCATACTGTACTGAAAATGAGTCAAACCGTGACCTCAAAACCGAGGTACATACCAAACTGTGATTTTTGTGAATTGTTACACCTCTAGTAATACAGGACCTTTAAGCAATAGCAGCTTTCACATTTTACACAGTTTTTTCAGCTTTTACAGAAGAAAATGTCATTACTGCCTTTGAAAGCTTGTGTCATGAGTCTATGAGTCTAATTTTGTGATTAATAAAACCTGATTTGATTATTATTGTCAGGAGCGTTACCTTAATGTAGTTGAGGAATCGTGAGCTCAAACTGGAGTCCCTGTAGAACTGTTCGCTCAGGGTTTCCGTTGGACTCTCTTCAATCAGACGCACCGAATCAGAGTTGGGATCTGCACAAGAGACAAAGTCAAGTCAAAGTCAAAGTCAAAGTTACACACGACTGAACTGAAAAGCTACTACATCACATTTAGAAAAAACTAATATGGGCCCTTTAAACCCTGCATAAAGTTGCATTATGAGGAGACAACCAGGCCAAGTTCCAGGTCAGATCTGTGGAGAGGCAAGCCTACTCACTGCCAGGTGCTTCTTCCATGGGTCAGCAGTAGGATGGGGTCAGACTTTCGGGTCAGCTGCAGGATTTCAGACCTCCGTTTGTAAGTACAGAGGCTTTATAAATAAAGCCCGAGTCAGGATCTAACCCACAACCTCCTTACTGAGAGGAGGAGACGGGCTAACCACTCTGCCACATGTATACAAACCTGTCATGGAGCTCAGTTGGTCGCTGGAGTCGTCTTTGGTGAACCCTTCTTCTCGGATGTGGCTCATTGGTGCATTTAGACTGACGCTCTCCTCGTCCGATGGCTGAAAACACAAAGATATTTAGAGCTGATGACTTTATTTGTGTATTTTGTTTTATTTTAACTTGTAGTTAAACATGTATATAATTACACCTTATTTGACACCAGTCTGTTGCTATTTTTGCTACTTATTCATTTAGAATTCATTATTACAATTTCTCTTTTGTTGTAATTAGAGCCAGATCAAATTGATTTTTTGATGCCACTGAATAAAACAGGATAATCTCAGTTGCAATACGATACCGATAAAACATTTATTTTGGAGGTGCAGATAGCCGATATAACAGCTGATATATTTATTTAGTGATGTAAACATTCACTGCAAATCTTCAACTGATTATAAGACATAGGTTTGACTCTATTAGATTTTAAATGGGGTTTGTTTAGTTTGCTACATTTCCAGTAATTTTGTCTCTTTGCAGTCATATTTAAAGACAGTATGTAGGCCTAATGGCATTTTTGCATGACATCTGACACACAGACACACAGGCACCTCTCAGAAAACAAGTCTTCACAAATAAGTCACCTTTAATCCTGACTCAAAACACTTTGATAAAAACAAGCAGTAGTTTTGTTGTTGGTCTAAACTGTGGTGAAGTTCACTTTTATGTATAGTCAATATCTTAGATCAGGTACAAGAGCATTTAAAGGGACAGTCTGGAATTTGACATAGGACCTCATTTCCTAGTGAGCCAGAGTGTTGGAGACGTGTGGAGACACTTTTTAAAATATTCCATCCAGTGCTTGTATTTGCAGAGGTCGCTGGTGCTAGGCTAGTGCATGTCAATGGCCATAGTTATCCTGCCAATAAAAACAGTCTTACCCACTCCACAAATCACCCGAAACAAAACAATTATAACACCAGATTGTCGATGTGAATGTCTGTGTTGACAGAATAATTTTAGAAGTAAAACCAACCTTGCATTTGAAGGATTTATGTCTGAGTAGCAGCGAGTTTCACTTCCTGACAGAAAGCTTGGCAGCGGCGGACTGATATCACCTGGCACTGGCCTTACCGGCAAAGTGAAATTCCGCTGCTGCTGAGAAAATAGTCCCTCAAGTCCCACGATTCATGTGATGCAAGGTTACTTATATTTCAAACATTATTCTGTCAACACAAACATTTACATCAGCAGTCTGGTGTAATAATAGATTTGCTTTGGGTGTTTTGTGGAGTGGGTAAGACTGTTTTTAGTGGCAGGATAACTATGACCATTGACATGCACTAGCCTAGCACCAGCAACCTCTGCAATTACAAGAACTGGATGGAATATTTTTAAAAGTGTCTCCACACGTCTCCAACACTCTGGTTCACTAGGAAATGAGGTCCTATGTCCAAAATTCCGGACTGTCCCTTTAAAGCCAGCGCCTCTGTGCAGCCTCAGAGCGACTGAAGAGAACACACTGGTGTAAACAAGAGCACATGAGTCACATGACTCTGGGGTGCATTCAGGTCCAGTACGGTGTCACACAGACAGCCAAATGACTCCTCTGTTAAATATTGATGCGGTAGCACATAGTAACACATTTATCTGTCTGTACGTTAGATTAAATGTAGAGTGTAAACTTTATAATGAGGTATCACATGCCCACGTGGACATGCCCATGTCTCCAAGCGCCCATATCAGTTAGGTCAATATTACTGTTCAGTTTTATACACTACTTGAGACCCATTATATTTACTGGAGATTAACATTTGATAAACATGAATGTGTCCCTAGATACATCTGAACAGTTTTAGTGATCACAATAAACAAGATCCAGTTGTTTAAGCAGTGTTCAGACTGTTTCCACAGAAATGTCTTTGTGTATTTTGCTGAGTCGTGCCAAAATCACTAAATCATGACAGATGAAGCACAGGACAGGAAGCTGTGGATGGATGTCTCTGACAACATGTTAAAGCAGAGCTAGTCTCAAAATGGCAAAATTGCAGATTGCAAAAATATCATCAGATTACTGTTATTGGAGTTATGAAATTATAGTTTTTTTGTCAGTATTTGTCTGTTCTCAACTCTGAAAAGTCCTCAAACTGGTGCCTACAAACAGGAAACTCAAAGCCATCCCCCTGTCTCTGTTGTGTCCTCACCTCTGTAGCAGACAGTCTCTTGTCTCCATTGTCACTGCCGACTCCAGAGTCTGAGTCCAACTTCCTGTGAGTCTCCATGTCCTCCACACTGGAACAAACCACACACGACATATATACACATATATACACAACCAGTCAAAGTTTTTTTTTGTGTTTTTGTTTTTTTATGTTTACTACTTTCTAATTTTCAGATACAAATAAATATTAAACAACTCGACAAAATAGCTTTCATATTTTATATTCAAATCCACAGTCTCCACCCTTTGCTCTGACAACTGCAAACTCTTAGGCTACGTTTATATGATGACGGTCTGAACAGAAGACACAAAAGTGGCATCGTGTCTTCACTTTTTATTTCACGTTTAGATGAGTGTTTTCGGGAGGAAATCGGCATGCATACGGTGACGCAAAAGTGTGTGGAATTGAACTGGATTTGCATGCCAGGCGGTTAAGTGGTGACATTAGGTGATGATGTATGTGACGTAAACGCGTACACGATGTGAGCAGACCAGAGTTTTGCGTCTTGGGCAGTGTGGACGGAAACGCTACAGCAGAGCATATTCACCTTTTCCACTCTGGAAGGTGGTTTCAGATTTTTGCATTTTTAAGCCCCAAAAACGCCGTCACTGTCTACATGAAAGGCACTTCCGATAAAATATTTTGTCGTTTTTACCCGCAAGCGTTCTCGTGTAAACAGTCCCTAAATCTCCTCTCAATGCGCTTCTTGATGAAGTTTCTTGAAATGGTTTCCACTTCACAGCTGTCTCGCTTCAGGGTCAAAAGTAGTAACCAAAGCAAAGGACTGGTATTTAAAATCAGTTTTGAATTTAATTTTGAGTTTACTTTTTGCACGTTTCATTCATAATTTTGATGCCTTCATTGAGAATCTACAGTGGAAACAAAGACGTAAACAAACCTTTGACTGGTAGTGTGCGTATCATAAAGACATATTTATACATTGTGTTTGGAAGTAACTATGGATACGTTGCAGTCATATCACGCTGGTGGGCTCTGTATATATGTGTATGACTTAATGTTCAGTAGTTACTATGGTGACACAGCGCACACATGAGCAAACACAGCCTGATAAGTTTGCTGATAAGTGATAAGCCTGTAAGATCTACACTGTGCTGAACATCACCAGAGCTGTAAAAAGGAAGTCTCTATGGACTCAAACTCAAAATTGTGTGTATTATTTTTTTAATGTCTATGTATTCGTCAGCAATACATTTGACTTTGAAATGTGTAATCATGACAGGTCGATTTTGGGCTTCTTTCAAATCTTAAATTCTTCTCTAAATTGTGCAGCCGAGGTTACGTAAAAGTATCTAGTACAGGCCTGATTTTGCAGCGGAGTGAGTGCGAGGAGCAGAGACTGAAGTGGGCCAGAGGAAAAGATAGTCCTGATCTAGTTTCTGTGTCCCAGGAGGAGGAGGAGTCAGGCTCACGTCTCAGATACAGACTCACATTAGCCTTAAACTCTGGGGTAAAAAATAGTCTGTAGCTTTCCATGTCTTATGGGTGGGCAGTACTCGGTGACACTTAAATTTTTTAGTAACTTTTTTAAAGAAATGATACTTTTCAGAGTACTTTTTTAGTCTAAAGTGATAAAAGCTTCATGTGGAGAATATGAAATGATGTGAACATTTGTGTTTCTTGCAGCGCTCCTTAACATATGATTTGTGTCTGTCAGATTTTGTGCGTTATTAAAGGACAATTACATTCACTTCAAATTATAAATCAATTATGTTACGATAGTTACTCTTTCAGTTACTCTTACTTGAGTAGCAAGTTTCCCATTTATTTTTTAGTCTTACTTGAGTTATTTCTTGGACCACTACTTTGTATTTCTGCTTGAGTAATATTATTTTGCAGTAACTTTACTCTTACTAATCTGAAAATGACCAAGTACAGTATTTTTCAGACTATAAGGCACACCAGATTATAAGGCTCAATATCAATAATGTTGAATTCTCTCACCTATTTTCATACATAAGGTGCACTGGATTATAAGGAGCATCAAGCGAAACAAACGGACAACACTTGAGACTGATCCTTTAGTCCAGGCGTCCACAATCCATCGGCAGATTGTGGCGTAATTCGCCCGACGTTGCCTCCCTGTCTTGGTGAATGTGTATCATGAATATGAATGTGGGTGGATCATTTAAGTTTGTTTTTTTATTTCCTATGAGGATGACTCAAATATACATTGAGTAGTAATGTGTTTAATGCAGCTTTGCGCACATTTGTTTAAGTTTTACAGAAACAAAACTTAAAACCACATGACTTATTTGCATAAACTATAAGCACTGAATAAAAACCTGCTCACTTGTGCGCTGATGCGGTTCAGCTTCTGTCGGACTAAAGGACACAATTTACTCCTCAAGGCTCCTGACTACGAAAGCCGTAATGCTCCGACAATCCATCAAGCGGTGCAGCTTCATAGTTACCAAAGTCATACTAAAACATTTTGACGAATTTTTGAGCGCCGTGTACCACATAAAATCAGTTCCAGATCAGTAAGCACAAACAGAATACATACATAAGGTGCACTGGATTACAAGGTGCACTGTCGATTTTTGAGAAAAGTAAAGGATTTACTTTACTACTGTGTGCGTTAGGCTACGTAAACATGACAGTTCTCCTGGATTTTTTTTTTTTTTTTTTGCAGGTTGAAAAAAAATTGGGAGGGTTGCAGCCTGCCTTGCATTGGAGGACCCTGGCAATGACGGGTCGCTATGTCATCGTTTTGCAAAAGCTGTGGTTTGCTTGTCTACACGACAACGCAACACCGGTGTTTTCAGATTTCTCCACTCTAGAACCCGATCTCAAAAAACGCCATTTTCGCCCACCCAAAACAAAGGCCAAAATGAATACAAACTTCACAGTTTCGACCAAAAAACTTTATCGTGTGGACAGGCCCTTATAATCTGAAAAATATGGTAAACAGGACAGAACTAGACCCTTCCTGAATTAAAGCTGCACTGAGCAACTTTTTGGCCAAAATATAAGCAAGTTCATTCATTTTGGTGTTTTTATTGCATTGAAAAATATATAAACATGCAGCCTATATTGAGTGGGCTTGCCTACCCACAAGCCTGACTCTTATTTGACTTGGAGAAAGACCTCCTCCTGCTTGTTTCTATGGAAATGCTGTTCCTTTGGCTATAATATTCCACAGTATGACGTAAAATGGAGAACGTTCCGAGGTATGGATTCAACTTTCTATTGCTATGGACTCAAGCGGGTGACGTGCCGAAGCCGCCTGCAGAAAGTTACGCAGTGTCGCTTTAATCTAACTGTCGATGAGAAAAACAGAACCTCTTACCTCCCCGTGTTTGGGCGTGACATGTTGGGCAGGTACAGAGAGTCGGCCATCTTGTCACTTTGGCACGCCTCCAGACTCAGGTACTTAAAGATGTGTACTTTCCCTTTAAGACAGATCTGCAGCACAGACGCACAACAAAAACAACAAAAACAACAACAACAACAACAGTGTGAGTAAGAGCTACAGAGAGGACTCACTGATGCAGGGAGGAAACTCACACTCAATGAATCGACAAATGAAGAGCTGACTAGTCCAAAAATGATTTCTATAGTACTCTGAGACTTTTGTAATACACAATCAACCAAAGAAATGTTGGAATATGGGCATTGGAGGCGTCACAATAGACAAAATTTACAAATTAAGTGTATTACAGTAGTAGCAGTACTAGCAGTAATAGCAATAGTATTTGTATTAGTATTTGCTGTAGCATTGTTAGTAATATTGTCAGTAGTATTGTCAGTAGTATCATTAGTAGTATTGTCAGTAGTACTGTCAGCAGTAGTATTGCCAGTAGTATTGTCACTAGTACTGACAGTAGTATTGTGAGCAGTAGTATTGTCAGTAGTATTGTGAGCAGTAGTATTGTGAGCAGTAGTATTGTCAGTAGTATTATCAGTAGTTGTAGTGTCAGTACTTGTATTGTCAGTAGTTGTATTGTCGGTAGTATTTTCAGGTGTAGTACTGTCCATAGTTGTATTGTCAGTAGTATTGTCAGCAGTAGTCTTATCAGTAGTACTGTCAGTAGTATTGTCAGTAGTATTGTCAGTAGCTGTATTGTCAGTAGTAGTACTGTCAATAGTAGTACTGTCAGTAGTAGTATTATCAGAAGTATTGTCAGTAGTATGTCAGTAGTATTATCAGTAGTATAGTTGTATTGTCAGTAGTATTGTCAGTAGTATTGTCAGTAGTATTGTCAGTAGTATCGTCAGTAGTATCGTCAGTAGTATCGTCAGTAGTATCGTCAGTAGTATCTGTCAGTAGTATCGTCAGTAGTATTATCAGTAGTATTGTCAGTAGTTGTATTGTCAGTTGTAGTATCGTCAGTAGTATTGTCAGTAGTATCATCAGTAGTATCATCAGTAGTTTTATCAGTAGTATTGTCAGTAGTTGTATCGTCAGAAGTATTGTCAGTAGTACCGTCAGTAGTATTATCAGTAGTATCGTCAGTAGTATCATCAGTAGTTTTATCAGTAGTAGTACCTGAGCAGGGGGGCTCTGTAGAGGGTTGTTGTCCAGGTTGAGACTCTGCAGGTGTCTCATTCTTCTGTAGGACACTGGGATGGTGGACACTTTATTACAGGAGAAGTCCAACCTCACCAACGGCAGCTCACACAGGTCTGAGGAGGACACGTTTACACAGTCACAAGGAGGACAAACATTTAATATCACATCAAAACAATCACAAAAACAAGAATCATTCCTTTGCGTTGGAGTACTGCCACCACTTTTTACATTTACAGATAAGTCCTATATTACGCAAACTTGACTCTTGTGAACTTTAAGTTGTGTTATCATGCTATTACCTCATCTAAAATACTTCTTACATTAAGTATACTACATTATTAGGCTGTCTGCATCCCAAATACTCAAAATGCTCTGTTCCACCTTGTGAGGGAGGTAGTTTTAAGCTTTAAACTGCTGTAAATTTAAAAGTTAGGTGAATCCTGGGCTGAGATGATTAAGGTTACGTTTACACTGAAATTAATCACCGAATCACTGTATCAGAAACGATTTGCTTCCAGACACGTCATTTCTGTGTCCAAAAGCCTTCCCTATCCACACAGCTTTGTGCATATTTGTTTACGTTTAACAGAAATGAAACTTAAAACCACATGGCTAAACTGCATAAACTAAGCGCTCAAAAAACTGCTCGTTCCTTGTGCCCTGACGCGGTTCAGCTTCTGTCAGACTTAAAAAGGACACGACTCAGTGGAATATGAGTGTTCTATCTGTGACAGAGGGATGTTCTGCTAATGGTGAGTCTGTTCTGTGCACTGTTTCCATTTGTCTATGGTTTTCCACAATAGCGTCACATGAACGATGTCACGAACACAGCAAATCAGGAAGGCACAAGTCACAGTAACGTGGACCAATAAGGACCTAACTAGAGCTCCTACATCAACATATCAATGTTTTCAGGCGTCCACATGGTGCTGGATCAGATCTGTACTCAGGTGAACTTGTGGGAGCTGGCGGCAGCAGATCTGGAGCCGTTTTCCATTGAATACATCCACAACGAAAACAACTCGAATACGTACTAGTGTGGATGGGGCCTAAAATGACTCTAGTGAAGGTGCATGGAGTCTAAAAACACAGTGGAGCAAAGTGGAGTTCACTCTGGAACAGTGTTTTCAGTTTGAGGGAAGAACACGGCGCATCCTGTACAGCGAGGTGGATTCACGCGATATTTGTGAGTTCACAAACTCAAGAATCCATACCTGCTGTACGGTTAATTGACCGAGTAGGACCAATCACAGAGCAGCATTGAGACTTCAGACTATTAAGTTTGATAAAAACAAAAAACAGGTAAGAGCTTTGTGCATTTGTGGACAGAAGAGATATCTGAGCTTTTCAATCAACTGGATTTAACTAAGTTTGATTGTTGTTTTGTTCCACTATTGTAGTGCTTCGACCATCAGATTTTAATACTCATGATACTCCGTGTTTTCTGATCTCTTTCAGCGAGAGACGTTCTACATTGATAATGTGTAGAACTCAACTCAGAGTGACACACAGATCAATCTGACGTGAGCCTAAATATGCTGAATTTGAGTGTCAAACATGTGTGAATGAAACAAAAACCCAACTCCTGGTCTGTTTGTGATGAGGACACAACATTATAACATAGTAGTGTAATAAGGATCCTTCATCCTCCACATTGATTGGATTCATGTTTGATCTGAGTTACTTGAGCCTGACTCAACCGCACCACACCCAAGTCTCCAAAAATACACAGAACCACAAACCACAGGGGTCAACCCAAGTTATAAACACAAGATTCAACCTCAGTACTGCAAAATCACAGTATACTTCAGATAGAATGTCTTAAAGATCCTACATTACGCTTAAGTGACTCTTGTGAGCTTTTAGTCATGTTACAATGTTGTTCCCTCCTCAAAAACATACCTGGAGTTGTGTTTTGTTTCAGTCACATATGATTATTATTAGTTTATTATTTGTCTACATTTCTAAAGCTCAAAACTGGTAAAGGTGTATGGAGGTTTCAAAACACAGTGGAGCACTTTCTGTACTGCCACATGACATGAGATGGAACAGAGTGTTTTCTGTTTGAGAGAAGAACTCAGCCTGAACATGCAGAGTTTAAACAGAACTCTGTGGTGGGGTTTGCAGTGTAGCTGTCAGATTTCAGATTTGTTGACCTGGTTTATGGTTCTTATCTCTGTCATTACTGGGCCTATCCACATGAAACAAAAACACAAAGTTCAGTGTCTTCTCTGTCTGTATAAATAAACAAAAGTGATTTTTTTTTTCACAACAGCTTCAAAAAGTGGTGCTGTTATTCAACCAAAGACGTGATTGTTGTCCGTTCAAAAGGACTTTAAACTATCAGATTAATAAAACAAATAATGAGAAGGAGAAACTTTTGTGGATCATAAATAAGGGCGAGCGAGTCTGCGTCACTGACCATCAGGCAGCACGCACAGCAGGTTCCTCCTCACGTTCAGTTCCCTCAGAGACTTGAGGCGGCTCACGTGACGAGGCAGAGCTGTGATCTCGTTGCAGCTCACGTCCTAAAAACACAAACGCACAATCATGGGTTTTTATACTGCTATTTTTGTATTCTAACTTAAAGGACTCGACTGTGTCCCAGATATGAGGTAAATATGTTCAAATCAAATATACTGGAATGTCTTTTGTGCTAATAAAAAGTCTCTCTCTCTTTCATTAGACAAAAGAATGAGATTTTTAACATTAAATCATAGTATTTTCTTTTCTATTCACATGTGGTTTTATATCTGTGTAATCCCTCAGTGGTCCAGGTAGGTTCCATAGTGGTCCAGGTCTAAACCAGGACTAAACCAATACTCGATACTTTTGATACTAGATTGCAATACCTTTTTTAAAAACTGTAAGGGCGCAGGTTACATACAGTTAACACTATGGGCTCTATTTACGCTTACGTCACAAACTAAGAAGACATTTTTTAACATGTAATGACAACTTCTGGCGGGCTCTGTTCGCAGTAGTATGTCTAAGAAAATCTAGGAAAAAAGAGAAAATGGCCCAGTCCAAACTGGGCACTGGATACATGCGATTAGAAGAGATGGGGGGCCAAATTCAAGGTGAATCCAAACAGCACATACATCTGCAGTCTTCATTTTACCACTGATCACATTTACTTCAATGGGTTTTACCACAGTCAGTCGATGAGCCCAGTGTCGGGAACAACACTTGAAGTTGCTTCCAAACATCTTCCTGGTTTGTGACATAAGCGTGAATAGAGCGTGTTGTACATTTAGAGTGTACATTTATCTTGTCAGTGGCGTTAATTAATGTAATTGAGACATATATCAAAATGCAAACACTGTTAAAAGTTTTAAGATTGTCTGAAAACTCAAGAAAAAATACAAAATGGATTTCCATCCATCTTTTTTTTCCGCTTATCCGGGGCCGGGTCATGAGGGCAGCAGTCTGAGCAGGGACTCCCAGACTTCCTTCACCACAGACACTTCCAGCTCCTCCGGGGGAACTCTGAGGTGTTCCCAGGACAGCCCAGAGACATAGTCCCTCCAGTGTGTCCTGGGTCTTCCCCAGCGCCTCCCTCCGGTGGGACATGCCAACAACACTTCCCAAGGAAGGTGTTCATGAGGCATTCGGAACAGATGCCTGAGCCTCAGCTGCTCCTCTCAAAGTGGAGGAGCAGCGGCTCTACTCTAAGCTCCTCCTGTGTGACTGAGCTCCTCACTCTATCTCTAAGGGAGCGCCCAGCCACCCTGCGGAGGAAACTCATTTGGACCGCTTGTAGCCACGATCTTGTCCTTTCAGTCATTACCCAGAGCTCATGACCATAGGTGAGGGGAGGAACGTAGACTGAGAGGTAAATCAAGAGCTTTGCCTTTCAGCTCAGCTCCTCTTCACCACAACAGCTCGATACAGCAACTGCATCACTGCCGATGCTGCACTGATCCGCCTGCTCACGCTCCATCCTCCCCTCACTTGTGAACAAGACCCCGAGATACTTGGATGGATTAAACAGCACATTTTCAGGAACCTGTGATCAGTCTGAGCATTCATGGTCCTGTTTAGGAGTTTGACTTTCAACTTAAGAAGGTAAGAGACTGAAAACTGTTGGCTGTTGCTGGCGAGCTTGTGCCTGTACTGCTGTTTGAGAGGGACTTGTTTTACAGCACAAACTCAGATTAAAATGTGATTTGAAGTTTGCGGTGGTCCTCACCAGCTCCATGAGCGCGTGCAGCTGTCCAACGGCCTCTGGAAGATTCACCAGTTTGTTGTTACTGGCGTTCAGGACTCGAAGAGGAAGACTGCACAGACACGCCGGCAACGCACACAACTGGTTCCGACTAGAGAGAGAGAGAGAGAGACAAAGAGAGGGAGGAGGGGAGGAAGAGGAAGAGAGAGAAGAAAAGAGAGAAAAGAGGGAGAGAGAGAGAAAGGGGGAGAGAGAAAAGAGAAGAGATAGAGGGATAGACACAAGGTAGAGAGAAAGAGCGAGGAAGAGAGGAGGGGGAGGGAGAGAGAGAATGGGAGAGTAGAGAGAGAGAGAGAAAGAGAGGGTAAAAAGGAGAAAGAGTTAAGGTGGAAAAGAATTAATAAAACAACAGTGTTTGATAAAAAGCAGTCCTCCTCTGATACACACAGTCTGCTCTTTATCTCTTTATTGCTCTCTCTCTCATCCCTGCATCCATCTCTCTCTTTCCCTCTCCCTTATCTCTCTATCACTCCCTCCATCCCTCCACAAATGTAATAAAACAGCACATCGTATGACACAAAACACTGACCTCCTCTGTTACACACCTGCTCTCTCTCTCTCTCTATATATATATATATATAAATTGTTTTTCTCACTCATCTCTCTCTCTCTATCCCTCTCTCCTCCCTTTCCCACTTTTCTCTTTCTCTCCTTTAGCTCTTGGTCTTCCTCCTCTTTCTTTCTCTCTATGTTCTCTCCTCTGCTCCTCCTTTTCTCCTTTCCTCTTCACCTCTCCTCCTCTGCTCTTTCTCCCTTATCCTCTGCTATTCATCTGTTCCTTTTCTCCTCTCCTCCTCTCTCTCATCTGACCCTCTCCTCTGTTCCTCCTTTTCTCTGCTCCACTCCTCTGCGCCTCTTCTTTTCTGCTCCTCTCCTCCAATTCTCGTTTCCTCTCCTCCACTCCTCTCTTCCTTGCCTCTCCTCCTCTGCTTTCCGCTCTTCCTTTTCTCCTCTCCTCTGCTCCACTCCCCTCCATCTCTCTTCCTCTCCTCCTTGTCCTCCTCTCCTCTCTCTCCTCCTATTCTCCTCCATTTCTCCTCCTCCTCCTCCCCTCCCTCCCTCCCTCCTCTACCCCTATGCTTTTCCTTTACATCCTCTGCGCCTCTCTTCCCTCTCTCCTCCTCTCCTCCTCCATCTCTCCTCCTCTCTCCCTCTCACCTCTTCTCCTCTCTTTCCTCCTGTCCTCTCCTCTTCTTCTCTCTCCTCTCCTCCTGTCCTCCTCTCTCCTGTCCCTCTCCTCTTCTTCTCTCTCCTCTCCTCCTGTCCTCTCCTCTTCTATCCTCCTCACCTCTTCTCCTCTCCTCCCTCTCCTCCCCTCTCTCCTCCCCTGTCCTCTCTTCTCCTTCTCCCCTCCCTCCTCCTCCTCCTCCTCCTCTCTCCTCCTCCTCTCCCCCTCCCTCCTCCTCTCCTCTACTCTTGTGCTTTTCCTCTACTATCCTCTGCGCCTCTCTCCTCCCTCTCTCCTCTACATCTCTCTTCCCTCTCTTCCTCTCTCCTCCTCTCCTCCTCTCTTCTCCTCCTCCCCTCCTCTCTCTCCTCCCTCTCTCCTACTCCACTTCTCCTCCTCTCCTCTTCTCCTCTCCTCCCTCTCCTCCCCTCTCTCCTACCCTCTTCTTCTCCTCCTCTCTTCTCTCCTCCCTCTCTCCTCCCTCTCTCCTCCCTCTCTCCTCTCCTCCTCTCTCCTCCTCCTCCTCGTGTGTTGATGTGGCGTTGGTGTGTGTCGTACCTGAGGTTGAGGTTGGTGAGGGACTGCAGGCTGATCATGGTGTCTGGTACAGTCCTGATGCAGTTGTGATACAGGTTGAGACTCTCTAGCGCCACCAGCTGACACACTTCTGAAGGCACGTCCGCCAGTCTGTTTTTGGACAAGTCTGAAACAGAGAAGACGGAGCCACGTGAGTTGAAGGTCAAAATGAAATGATTTTACTACAAACAAATTAAAACAACATTTCTCAAACTACTCAAACCTTGAAACCAGGACAAAACAGGGCTAAAGCAGAACTAAAGCAGAACTAAACAGGACTAAAACCGGACTAAACCAGGATCAAACTAGGATTAAACAAGAATTGAACCAGATCTTAATCAGATCTAACCCAGGACTTAACAAGGACTAAACCAGGACTAAACCAAGACTATGCCAAAAATACACAAAGACTACACCAGAACTAAACCAGTACTAAACAAGGTCTAATTCAGGACTAAATTAGGGCTAAACCTGGACTGAACCAGGACTGAACCAGTACTAAACCAGGACTACAACAGGTCTCAACCAGGACTAAACCAAGATTGCCCCAATAATACACCAGGACTGAACTAGGACTAAACAAGTTCTAAACCAGAGCTAAAACGGGAATAAACCAGGACCAAACTAGGACTAAAAAAGGTCTAAACCAGGACTAAACCAGAGATAAACCAGGGTTAAACCTGGACTAAACTAGGACTAAACAAGAACTGAGCCAGATCTTAACCAGATCTGACCCAGGACTAAACAATGTCTAAACCAGCACTAAACCTGGACTAAAGCAGGACTAAACCAGGACTGAACTAGGACTACAAAAGGTCTCAACCAGGACTAAACTAAGACTCCACCAAGAATACACCAGGACTGAACCAGGACTAACCAGGACTAAACCAGGACTAAACAAGGTCTAAACCAGGACTAAACCTGGACTAAAGCAGGACTAAAGCCGGACTAAACCAAGACTGAACTAGGACTAAACCAAGACTAAACCAGAACTAAACCAGTATTTGACAAATCTTTATCTAAACTGCAGATCTCTGTCATTTAAACTGAGAAATCTATTAGTGTTTATATTTCCTCCCGTCATTGTTCGCTCCCATTCTCACACTGGCACATCACTTTGTTTCTCTCAAATCTCAAACACGACTCGAGTCTTTGTTTTGAAGGTCGGACCTGATGACCTCACTTCCTGTCCCACAGTTTATCAGCAGCAGCGCCCAAATAAGGCCAAGAAATGTCACTGCAATTGTTCCCTCTGACAGCCCGCGTTTGGTACTTCCTCTCAACAGATAAGACCTGGTTTAGTCCCAGTTTAGTCCCGGTTTAGTCCTGGTTTACTCCTGGTGCAGACTTGGGTTAGATCTGGTTTAGTTCTGGTTTAGACCTGGTTCAGACTTGAGGAAGAGTCCTAATTCAGTCCTGATTTCTGGTTAAATCCTGGTTTAGAACTGGTTTCCTGATGTAGTCCTGGTTTAGTCTCAGTTTAGTGTTGGTGTAGACCTGGTTTAGTCCTGGTTTAGACCTGGTTTAGTCTCCATTTAGTCCTGGTTTAGACCTGGTTGTAGCAGACCTGGAGTAGTCCTGGTTTAGTCCTGGCTTAGTCCTGGTTCAGTCCTGGTTTTAGTCCTAATTTAGTCCTACGTTAGTCCTACTTTAGTCCTACTTTAGTCCAGGTCCAGTCCAGGTCCAGTCCAGATCCAGTCCAGATCCAGTCCAGCCCTGGCTCAGTCCTGGTTCAAAACCTGTTTTTAGACCTGGTTTTAGTCCTGTTTTTAGTCCTGTTTTTAGCCCTGGTTTTAGTCCTACTTTAGTCCTACTTTAGTCCTGATTCAGTCCAGGTTTGGTCCTGGTTCAAAACCTGGATTTAGACCTGGTTTTAGACCTGGTTTTAGTCCTACTTTAGTCTTACTTTAGTCCTACTTTAGTCCTACTTTAGTTCTGATTCAGTCCTGGTCCAGTCCAGGTTTGGTCCTGGTTCAGTCCTGGTTCAAAACCTGGTTTTAGACCTGGTTTTAGTCCTACTTTAGTCCTGATTCAGTCCTTGTCCAGTCCAGGTTCAGTCCTGGTTCAGTCCTGGTTCAGACCTGGTTCAGTCCTGGTTCAGTCCTGGTTCAGTCCTGGTTCAGTCCAGGTTCAGACCTGGTTCAGACCTGGTTCAGTCCTGGTTCAGACCTGGTTCAGTCCTGGTTCAGTCCTGGTTCAGTCCTGGTTCAGACCTGGTTCAGTCCTGGTTCAGACCTGGTTCAGTCCTGGTTCAGTCCTGGTTCAGACCTGGTTCAGACCTGGTTCAGACCTGGTTCAGACCTGGTTCAGTCCTGGTTCAGACCTGGTTCAGTCCTGGTTCAGACCTGGTTCAGTCCTGGTTCAGTCCTGGTTCAGACTTGGTTCAGACCTGGTTCAGTCCTGGTTCAGACCTGGTTCAGTCCTGGTTCAGTCCTGGTTCAGACCTGGTTCAGTTGAGTCATTCTACATAAATGTCTGTTACACAAACATCTTTAATATTTTATCTTTGCATCATATAAAAAAAATATAGTGAGCACAATTTTCCTTTTCACAACAATTCAAACATTTCTGAAGTCCACAATTCACATTTTCCACAACAGTCAAATATTTTCGCCCCATGAATCAGGAGAGGAACTCAGTCTGTCTGGTCTAGAAATAAAAACTGCTTGGTATTTGTCTGGTAAGTCCCAAATGAAACCTCTGTATTTTCAGACCAAACACGACAAAGGAAACAAACACCCTCATTTATGGAAGATTTGTTTAGTCACATTTATATTTGAAACACAGCTGAATTTCTCATTTCTCGTTTTGAACTCTTGTATTGTTCTCATTTTGAATTTCAAAAGCTGAATTTTTAAGTATGTATGAAAATAAATACATAAAATAAAAAACGGAAATTCATTTTTTAAATATTCAGCACAATATTATTAGCCGATAGCCGATATAATCGCCGATATATTTAGTGATGTAAAAATTCACTGTAAGTCTTGAATTGCTTAAAAACCTTAGATTTGACTCTAGTGGATTTTAAATTGGGTTTAAAATGTATTGTTATTCTGACTCTGTGCGTCATATTTACAGACAGTAAGTCGGACTAATGGCATTTTTGCATCACATTCTGGTGATGGGTATTCAAGTTCTTTTTAGAGAACCGGCTCTTTTGGCTCGGCTCACTAAAAGCAGCTGGCTCTGTCGGCTCCAAAGCGGTTTTGTTGCAAGCAGGACTAAACCAGAACTGAACCAGGTCTAAACCAGGACTGAAAAAGGACTAAATCAGGACTAAAACAGATCTAAACCATGTGTAAAACAGGACTAAACAAGAACTGAACCAGGACTGAGTGTCTCTATCTCTCTCCCTCTCTCGAGCCCAAGATTAGTCCTGGTTTATTTATTTTATGCTAAACTAGAGCCAAATATGCTAGTTTTTTTCTATCCTATGCACATGCATATTTCTGAAAGTTTCCTTTTCAGCCGCTGACGCTGTCAAAACTACCACAAGTCTGCACGCGACATGAAGAGAAAAAAAGTGAGAAAGAGACAACCCAGCTCCCAATAAGAAACATGCTCCCGTCGTTCACTTCAAAGAGCCGGCTCTAAGAGCCGCTTCGATCGCGACCGACCCATCACCACTAGCTAGTAAAGAAACTACCGCTATTAGCCTTTAGCCGTAAATGCTGCGTGCCGCGGTAATGAATTATATGCATAAATGTGGATCATTCACATGTCTATTCACAGCTCATTTACATATCAATGCAGGTCCAGTAACATGTTTACGGCCAATGTAGTCACTTTACAATAGGCCAATAGAAAACAGCCTGTTTATGTGTGAGAGCTACAGCAGCTAACCCATAATAAATGACCAAAACTAGCTTCAAAGTCGACATATTTCCAACACTCAAGTCCTTTTAATCCAGACTCAAACCAATTGTCCGTAAAAAGAAAATCTCAGTGTTGTGCACATGGATCTATGTCTGTGGGTGTAAACAAGAGCACGTGAGTGACATGACTCCGTGGGTGTGTTCAGGGACAGTACGGACACACACACACACACAGACAAATGACTCCGCAGATAAATCCTGATGAAAATCCTGATGTGGAGCCACATATTAGGACATTTATCTGTCTGTAAATTGGATTAAATGAACAGAATGTAGAGAGTTTAAGCTTTATAACGACGTATAACCTGCCCAAGTGAAATATCGGCCCATATGGGCAAGATTTAGGCCAATCGCAGATATGTTTCTAGTTGCCCATATTGGCCGATAATATCGGCCAACCAATATATCGGCCGGGCCCTAATTCAGAGTTTAAAAAATTCACAGCAAAAATCCAAGATGCAAAGACATGAGCAAATTCAAAAGCATCATCAGGTCACGGTTTAGAAAAGACCGGATAGTCTTGGTGGAGTCCTGGTTTGGTCTAAATTTAGACTTGGTGTACTAGACCTGGTGTAGTTCAGATTTTGTCCAGGTTTAATCCAGGTTTAATCCAAGTTTGGTCCAGGTTTGGTCCAGGTTTGGTCCAGGTTTGGTCCAGGTTTGGTCCAGGTTTGGTCCTGAACCAGGACTGAACCAGGACTGAACCAGGACTGAACCAGGACTGAACCAGGACAGGGGCCCTTTATTAATGTTGTAGTTTGTGGAGGAAATTATGGTACTACAAAAATGGCAGCCCCTTTTACAACTTGCTAAATGCTTGCTGATCTGCTCCTCTCTCAATCCTCTCTTCTTGTCTTTGTTTTCAGCAGAAAAAGCTCGGACCCTTTAAACCTCATCTCTGTATCCGAGCGAAGTCATGTGACTCCCAAACAGGAAGTACTATTTTAACACACACGACACACACAGATCCGCAGTGTCTCTATGGCTCTGTAGAGAGAATATGCAAACTCTGAACTCTGAACTTTGACCCTCGTCTGCAGGAGAGAGGACGACGGTTATTTCAAAATACTTCAAAATATGATTACTCGCACATTGAGATGAAGTAAAAGCAGGAGTCTGGATGTGACATATGATTTATAAATAAAGTTAATGTAGTAAAGGATGTTAGTAAAGGATAAATCAGGACTAAACCAGGACTAAACAAGAACTTAACCAGGACTAAACCAGGACTAAAACTGGACTAAAACAG